CAATTCATTTTGAGCATCTTGGATTGCGCTTAAACTTAATGATTTATTCACTCATGCAAAAGATATTCGTATATTACTGCACAAAGATTCATTGAAAAGTACAGGTACTCGGAAGCTGATCAGAGCTCATGCATATACTTAAGATGGTCGAGAGGTAATTCTCTGATCAAGGATAAAAAAACAAACATCAGATTTGAACATTTGAAGAATTCAAGACCAGGGGTCGAAATCCTCAAAATTCCATACATGCAATTTGTTGAGATCCACTTTAAAAGTTTCCATGACGGAGGATATCACTCAAGACAACACAAGTTCAACTTCACAACGAAGGGACGGCTGGTTGTCAACAAATAACTTCTCAATTTCGGAGCCAATTTCAACTTCACAGTGAAGGATATTGGACTCCAGACAATGCAAGTTCAACTTCACGACGAAGGGACCGCTGGTTGTCAACAACAACTTCCCAATTTCAGAGCTAATTTTAACTTCACAGCGAAGGATATTGGACTCCAGACAACGCAAGTTCAACTTCACGACGAAGGGACCGCTGGTTGTCAACAACAACTTCCCAATTTCAGAGCCAATTTCAACTTCACAGCGAAGGATATTGGACTCTAGACAACGCAAGTTCAACTTCACGACGAAGGGACCGCTGGTTGTCAATAAACAATTTCCTAATTTCAGAGCCAATTTCAACTTCACAGCGAAGGATATTGGACTCCAGACAACGCAAGTTCAACTTCACGATGAAGGGACCGCTGGTTGTCAATAAACAACTTCCCAATTTCAGAGCCAATTTCAACTTCACAGCGAAGGATATTGGACTCTAGACAATGCAAGTTCAACTTCACGACGAAGGGACCGCTGGTTGTCAATAAATAACTTCCCAATTTCAGAGCCAATTTCAACTTCACAGTGAATGATATTGGACTCCAGACGACACAAGTTCAACTTCACGACGAAGGGACCGCTGGTTGTCAACAAACAACTTCTCAATTCAAGAGCCAATTTCAACATCACAGCGAAGGATATTGGACTCAAGACAACGCAAGTTCAACTTCACAACGAAGGGACCGTTGGTTGTCAACAAACAATTTCCCAATTTCAGAACCAATCTCAACTTCACAGCGAAGGATATTGGACTCCAGACAACACAAGTTCAACTTCACAACGAAGGGACGGCTGGTTGTCAACAAACAATTTTCCAGTTCCAGAGCCAATTTCAACTTCACGACGGAGGATATTGGACTTGGAAGGGGCCACTCATGGTTTCAACTTCACAACGAATGAAATCGTGCATACAAGCAGCATCCATTTTTAGATTGGATTTCAACTTCACGACGAATGATATCCAATCATCAGGTTCAACTTCACGACGAATGAGCCATATGCAATTCTAACTTCACAAACAGATTGACCCAACTTCGCGACGAAGGAGTCATCTATAACACCACAACACCAAAGTCTCCAGGTCAAGTTTCACCTTCACGACGAAGTATCTTGAGCCAGAAGACGATTCAAAAGCCACTTGCCAAAAGCTATGAGTTTGATTTCAACTTCATGACGAAGGATATCACGCTCATAAGTTTTCAATTAAACTCAACCTCACGACGAGGGAGTCATTTCGTGATTCATATTGACAAACTGGTTTCAATATCGGGTTTCAACTCCAAGACGGAGGATATTTGACGTGGCCGAAATTTATGTCTTTTAATCTTTGCTCTATTTTTGTCATACGATAATGAGCAAAGAGGGGCAGCTGTAGACATCGAATTTCATCCATTGATATAGTTTTATATAATATGTTTTTATTATTACAAACTATATTATAAAAAATATTCATTCATTTCTTTTATTTAAATATAGGCCCAATAAACAAGTTACAAAATAACAATGGCCCAAGTCAGCTACCCAAGCCCAACAGCAGGTCAAGCCTGGTGTAGCAAATTAAGGTTGTTCCAAACCCTAGCTCATCCCAGCCGCCAGCGTTAATGGTCGTTGGATCTAGACTAGATCTAACAGTTCACAGTAGACCCCACTTTAGGGTTTCAACCTCCACTCGTTCCAGCGCCGCATGCATGTTCCAGCGCCGTTTCCACTACAGACTCCTCCACACCGAAAACTCCGCCGGCCGTTTCGCTCATCACCAACACATGAAACACAAAGCAACGCCGTGTGTTAGTCAACAACAAGAAACCGAGTTTAACTCGGAATCAAATAGGCTAAACTTAGGATATTTTTGTACTATAAATAGAACACATAAACGGTTGTAAAAGAGGAGAGGATTTTACACTGGATTCACACACGAGATCATTGTGTAACAACCACTTACACACAATAGCGAAGAAAATTCAAGCACTTGTAAGGATTTTCGAAAAAGATAATAAAAGATAACTTTTTTACCTTGTTCATTCGTTTCTTTTGCTTCTGCATGTTGAATGTTGCTGGAAATTTGGCTCGGAAACCTTAAAACCCCGATTTTTAGCCGATGACTGAGAGGGAGTTCTCGGAACTTTGCTTCCAGATCTACGCTCTTTAGAGGTTGTTTTGCAAAAATGACCCGCATTTTCGGAACGAGGGTGTAAAGATCTATTGACAAAAAATAAAAGCTTTTTAAATTTTGCCACCGATGAACGGCGGCCGTCGCCGTTCAACGGCGGCGGTGAGACGGCGATGGGTGGTCGGAAATTGGGTTTTTGAAGACCACGGCGGTTTGTTCTTGAGCCTCAAGAACAATCAGAGAAAAATGATGGGGGGGGCTTTTCTGTTTAAAAAATGAGAGAATATAAGAGTTTTAAAAAAAATTTGACTTAAATACTAAGCCCATTCGATCCGCGCGACCCGACCCAGTGGTCGAGGAACCGCGTGTTTTTCCTTTAAAAAGGGTAAAATTCGCTTTTTTGACCTTCATGTTTTAAAATTTTCATTTCACCCCCCAAATCTGATTTTTAAACCCAATTTCCTTTTGATTTTGACCCTCGTGTTTTAAAGGTATGTCATTTTGATCCCAAATCCGGTTTCCAAACCTCGAATTCTTCGAAACTGGCCCTTAAATTTTGATTTTACTTCAAATACGTCCTTTTTAATATATATATATATTTTTCATTTGTTTTATTTTTATTTATTTTTATTATCTTTATTTTTAAGTTAAATAAACTTTTTTTTGGATTGATTTCTGTGCTCATGATGTATATATTCTACTATTATGTATGTTAGCTGTGCATTCCATAAATTTACTGGGTTTTCGAGCGTTGTGTACTTCCTAAAATATATATATATATAAATTTCATTATCTTGCATGTTAGTTGTCATGCATTTCTACACACCTTTTCACTATGCATTTCATAATATATATATATATATATATATATATATATATATATATATATTATACTATTATGCAGGTTAGTTGTGCATTTCTACACATCTTCTCGAGCCTTGTGCACTTCCTAATATATATATATATACATATATTTCATTATCATGCATGATAGTTGTAGTGCATTTAAAAATTTACACATTTTTTTATTTGTGCATTTCATAATATATATATATATATATATATATATATATATATATATTATGCATATTAGTTGCTATTTGTGTGTTTTTTTCCTTTTAATTTCACTACGTTTTTTATTCTTTTGTTCTTTTTTTCCTTTTATTATTTTATTATTTTCTTTTGATTTACCTTTTTGAATATATTTTTTATTTTATTTTATTTTTCTTTTTTGATTTATCTTTTTATTGTTTTTTATATCTTTTCTTTAATTTATTTAATATTTATTATTATTATTATTATTATTATTATTTTAACATTTCTGACTTTTTAGAGAAATTTTAAATCTATTAGAGATAAATAATTTGGATCATATGTTACCTTTTAATTTAACTTGCAATTTTCTTAATTAAGACAATTGAAAATTACGTAATACCAAAAGGGCGGTTCAAGGGTGCTAATCCTTCCTGACCGTAACCGACTCCCGAGCCCGACATATTTCTGGTAAGACACAGATTAGGTAAGAAATAGGGTATCCGATCAACCCATTTATTTTTAAATAAATGATCGGTGGCGACTCCAATCTACATTTTTCAAGTCGAAACCAAATTTCGGAACCTAATCGAAAGACGGTTGCGACACCACCCAATCTGGTAAGGCGCGTGGCAGAATTCCCAAAAGAATATTATCCGCGAGTTTATCAACTCAATCTCCGCCGTTCATTCCAAGCATCCTACGGTTGCCGGGTAGTGGAAGACCGTACAGCTGTACACGGACAAAACGGGCGCCAACGTTTCCCGTAGGGTTCACGTAGCGGAGGAAAACGATTGCTTTTACTCCCATGGGAAGTCCCTCACGCGCTCATCAATGCAGTACGTGATAAGAAGCGCTGTAACAGCTGGCACGAAACCGTTGCCAGTTACCAAGAGCGGGTTGTACCTCTTGCTCACATCCGCTGACGTGGACGTGCAGAATTTTTGCAACCAGATTTGTGGGTTCCACAGTTTGACGTGGAAAACAATCATGAGGTACACGCTCCTATACGCATGGGTGGGTAACTCAGCAAAGCTTTGCCCGCAAACATGCGCTTTCCCTTTCTCCGTACCAGAATACATCCCGGGGTTCAAGGCGTTAAAACCACCCAACAGTGACGTGGGAGTGGACGGGATGATAAGCTTTATCGGACACGAGCTGGCCGAGCTGGCCACCGACCCACTTGGAAACGCATGGTACTCAGGGCAAGAGGTGGGTCGTTTGTAAATAACGGATATATGCGAAGGTATTTATGGAACCGTAGGTGATGTGCCTTACATGGGACATGTATTGAAGGGCAAAGATGGCGCCACGTATAACATGAATGGAATCAAACGTAGGTACTTGGTTCAGTGGGTCTGGAATCATGTCGTGAGTAACTGTACTGGGCCTAATGCTCTTGATCAGTGGAATCATGTCATGGGATTTTGCTATAATTAGTGTTAAATAGTTATCATAACATCCGTAATTGCACACTGCAAGCACGATTTAGTATTATGATTATAATATTCATTACAAGGACTAATCCAAGCAAAACCAGAAATAGTCGGTCTTGTTTCCATGTATCAATTCCTCACATAACTGCCCAAATCAAAACACAATTTCAAGGACAATGTCATATTTTCTAATGAGTCAACTACACTAAAATAGCTAAATAAAATTACTCCACAGGCTTTTGGTAGCTTCCTGGGATGTTCACGAGCTTTGCGCGACGAGTGTTTTGATCAACCTCCACTCTGAGACCAAGTCTGGTGAGTTCAGGTGTGTCGACCGTCCCTTGTAACTGTAAATCAGCCAGAGTCTGTTGGTTTTCTGCATTACCTTCTAGTAAGTTTCTCACAGACCAAATCCCCCATTCCCTCAAATACGGGTTGTCATCATCAGTTACACACTGCTGTAACAACAGTGGAATCCCATTCTTCTGTCTTATTTCATCCTGTACGATCTTGCTTCTATAGGCACAATTTCCGATTACCGCAACCAAATCTCTCCGGAATCCTTTGTAAGGGCAGAGCTTAGATGAAGGCAAAATCTGTTCTTGGTTTTCACTATCTTTCAGGGTTTTTCTTATGGTTGATGGCAGCTCAAGATCACGAAGCAAAGATAATAAAATGTCTAAAAGTTCATTGGAGAGTAACATACCAACATCTACCGAATCTTTCTTCAAGTCTCCTACACTGTCTCCGGCACAGATATCCCTCAAAATAATGAGAGAATATCCCATAACATCAACCGATGTAGAGCCAGTTGGAAGACCAGACTTGCCTCTAGTGGTAAAATCAACAATCGTTAAGGATCTCTTAAATATTTCAAGAACACACGATACAGAATCATCGGGAACTCTTACTTCATCAATTCTTTCATTTAGAATCTCGGACATGATTCTCAGAAGAAAAGCCTGCTCTGATGAGAAATAATTATCCCCTAAAGCAGTGTTTCCCCTGTTCTCAGAGGCATTGCCTTCACATAGTTTAAAGAAGAGTGATGGGAAGTGAATGTCCTCTAGACATAATCTTGAAAGAAGTAACTTAAACCAATCTTCTCTGAAACCAACTGAGGCAACAACATTAAGAGAAAAATTCAGAGTTAGCTAAATCTATTTAAAACAAAGTACAGAACACAATAATAAAAAACATAAAATCAAAGGCTCATCATCAGCACCTGAAGCAACAGTACGAATTAAACCTGCTACAATTGGCAACCCCGAGTATCTACAGAGTTCAGTAGCCAGTCCAGGTCTTCCACCACAACAGGTGTACAAAATCATACATAAAGGATCACTAGTCTCCTGACTAGGGATGCTTGCTAGCATGAAAAACTCATTTGGGAACAACTCAAGCCAAATAACCTGTTGATGCTCTACTCCAGCCAATGAAACATTTGCCAGAACTTGCAAACTGATACGAATAATTCCAAGTTCCAGATCAGAAGCAAGTGCTGCAGACCTCAAAACAGTGGCAACAGTTTCTATTCCATTTTGCTCCAAAAACGAGTTCTGATTGGCAACTCCTCCGGCACATAGATTCCTAAGAAGCTTCAAAGATTGGATGAGATATTCTCGACTTGATGTGCGATGGAGAGATTCTACAAGCTTCAAAACAGAAGGAAGGATATTCCTTAATGCAAGTTCTGCACGGCCAACAGCATCCCTAGAAGCTTGTATAAGAATCTCAAGGGCTTCACGTAGCGAGGATGAATTTGATGCGCTAAGTAAAGGCTGCAAAACATCTTCCCGATCGTTGAACTCCGGCAATGATTCTCCGACCATTGCAGAACTCGCAAACAAGATAAGACAATTATATGCAATAAAAGGACATGAAAATCAATTCACATTCTTCAGAAGTTAATGATATATCTAGAACCAAACAAGCCGTCCCAAATAATTTACAGTTTTTTTTCAAGGACTACAAATTCAGAAGCCATATATAAAAACTTCCATCTTCTTCAAGCCCGTAAATTTGCAGATTCAAACAAATAAAACAACAATCATATGGGTTAAGCTTAATCCAGTAGAGTGTGATCGTATGATAGTAACTGATAAAACCAAACAGAGAAGTGTAAGGCACCTGCTACTCTCTGAATCTCCTTAATCCTTCTTCTACTTCTCCTCAATGTGGGGCTTTTGTTGAAAGTTTCAGTGAAAGGGAATGGAATATGAGAAGCTGAAGAAAAGATTCAATTTGGGATTTAGGTTTTCTTTTTCGAAGTTAATCCTTTATAATATATAAATATTGACATGTCGGTATAAATAACGCGCGTGCCTCTCAAATACTTGGTAGTAAAAAGTCGTTAATTGACACATTTAGCCTCCAATTGAACATTTACTTTGTAAAACCCTTAAGCCCTTGATTTCTCTGGCTTTTCTCTAGTAGCTCCATGAACATGGCGGAACGCGAAGTAGAAATCCTACGAGGGCATGAGCTACGACTCCTTCGCTGCACCCTACGTCCGCCTCCGTCTGATTCTTCTTCTTCTCACTTCCAACATTCAGATGAATTTGCTACTTCAATTCCTCCTCTCCACGCTCTTATCTCCAACTTCCTCACTTCCGTCGAGTCCGGTGACTACTTCGGAGCCCTTTCCTCGGACGCCGCACGACTCGTCCTTGCCTCGCCCGACTCCGACCTCTCTTCTCACTCTCCCGACCGAGTTTACTCCGAGTTACTAGACCGAGTCGAATCGTTCATTAATGAACCTTCCATTAACAATGCGGAGAAAGCTTGTAGGGTTTTTCTTGTTGTGTGCGTTGCTGTGGCAGCATTATTCTGGTTTACTCAGTGTAATTTGACTGGGTAAGGCCTTCGATTTCTATGTAAATGAAATACCGTCTATTTGCAACTCTTTTATTGGCCTCCTGCTTTCCGAATAATATATATTATAGGAACCGAGTTTTGATATAAATTCCAACAATATTCTCTAAAATCGGAATAAATAATTTACGTTTTCATAAAGCCAGAAAATGTGTTCAGTATTTTATTTTTATGTAAAAAATATGTCAAATTTGAGGTTGCATCTAGTATTTTGTTTGTTTTTAATCATTTATGAATTTTATTTTCTGCTAATACTTTTGTTATAAGACTAAATTTTTCTCTCCTTTTTTATATAAAATATCATGACTTCAAAAATTAGGCCCGTGGATGGGTTACCGAAGCGTCCACTACCAATGAAGGCGTGGTGGGAAGGAAGTGAGATGGTGGAATGGGAGAATTGGGCGAGGAATCAACTCATGGCTGCTGGCTCAGATTTGCTTGGCAAGTTCTCTTATCTTCAGGTATGTATATTATCAGTTCATAAGCCTGTCCTCCAAATTTATAGAAATAAAAATTGTTAAGTTCTTTCTGTTGTTGCTGCTTTTACTATTTGCTTTTCACCTATGAAGTAATGATCAAAAACTTTTAGATTGCAGTCTATAAGTGAAAGAGAAAGGAGTTTGAAGAAGTAAAACATGGATGAATATTTTTCCTTAAATCATTATAATATTTTAGTTGGCCTTTTCTTTAGTTATTTACTCAGTTTTTTAGCCTCATTGTAGAAACCAAGTAGGAGAGTAATAGAGAGACTGGTTTTTCTTGATAAGATGTAGGAGCTGGAGGATGGAAAAGTGGTGGGTGATTTTGTTTATTAATGCTTAGTTAAGATAGAAGGTGATAAACCTCCACCGGATCTTCTAATATCATACAACGTGTTAGTGAGAGAAGCGGGAGCTTCTCTCTAGGGCCCAGGTGTTTTAAAAAATAAAAGTGGTTTCTCCTCCGACAGTGTTTCGTCGTCCGCTGCCGCCGTCTGCCGCCGCCGTCAGCAATCCGCCGCTATACTCGAACCACTGTTTGACGTCGTTTTTTCCTGGGATGGTCGTCCGCTCAAGGTGAACACAGATCTGGACCTTTTTTTGCGAAAAACTCTGTCATTCGTCGCAGATCTACACTCCGTCAACTGCAGATTTACGCCGCCTCTCGCCGGCCGAGTTCGACTCCGCCACATTACCGATCGCAGCGCCTTATTGCGACCTAATCTCGAGCTTTCTAGTGTCGAGCATCGTTAAACAACTGAGAAATCACCATGGAACCCCAACCCCCGTCTTAGCCCAGCCGTCTTCGAGGGTTTGTTTCAGCTGACGTGAGGCATTCTACCGTCCCTCCTTCATCATTTAGGATTTCACAACTCCTTGAACCAGACAGCAGTGGTGCAGCCGGTGATTTTCCTATGGAGTCTGCCAAGGAACTAGAAGCGAGAGTTAAGGCTCTAAAAGCACTAGTGGCAGATTTGAACAAGCGGGTAAAGGATTTAAAAATGAAGGAGAATGCAGTTTCACCAGGAAATTTTCTCAGAACCTCTGGATCCGCCGGTGCAGCCTCTTCTTCTTACTCCAGTAAAGACATACGTGAAAATGAGAAAGAAAAGGAGAGGTCAAAGTTTCGGAAACGGAACAAACGAGTTTTTACCAGACGCATGCTGGCCGGATTGAGGCAGTTTGGTAACTTCCCAATTCCCCCGCATGCTGCTAGGAACGATGTTCTGGCAGCCTTGGCACGTGAGGCTGGTTGGACAGTTGAGCCCGACGGCACCACTTACCGAAACTCTCCTATGCTCCAAAATCAACAAAATTTGGGAACTTATTCAGGGAGGTCGGGTGATAGTCCATTATCATCCAATCCTTTGAAGAAGTGCTTACAAGAAGGGAAACATAGAAATGGAAAGTTGTCTTTAGCACACGTAAAACCAGCTCTTTCTGTTGCTCATGTTGATCATAATGGATCCAAGGAGATCAATTCGAAAGGGTATTCCAATGTAAAATTGTCCGAAGTGGTGGGAAGTAGAAGAAACGGGTTTAATAATCAGTCAAAGGAAGGTCAACCAAATATCGTCAATGGGTTCAGAAAGGGTTGTTACACGATTTTTATCGAGAACCTTCCAGAGAAGATCCATTGGAAGAGACTTGGATCTATATTTGGCTCACATGGTCAAGTTATTGATGCATTCATTCCCCAAAAAAGAAACTCGAAAGGGTTTCGCTTTGGGTTTATTCGCTTTGCTATAATTGAAGAAGCAAGGACAACGATTTCTAAGATGAATGGTAATCATATTTACGGCAACAAAATTAGAGTCTTTCTGGCTAAATATAAACCTAGACAGTCTTTCTGGCGAAAGTCCTCGACAGCTGTTCAAAGTAAGTCTGGGATGGAAGATCTTCCGAGGTTTAAACACTGTGAAGTTGAGGGTGTTGTGGACAAAGATAAACTTCAAGTGTTGAACAACTGTCTTGTTGGGTGGTGCAAGAACTTTATCAAGATTGGTAATCTTGCTAACCAAATACAAGCCAAAGGACTAGCGGGTTTCACGCTAATGAGAGCTGCTGGAAATGTAGTTCTAATGGTTTTTGAGGACTCGGATTTGTTGAGAAGCGTGAAGGAAGATAAGTTAGAGACTCTTGCAGAATGGTTTTCCAGAGTGGAAACTTGGTCAGAGAGTCTTGTGGTGGAGAGTCGGCGCGTGTGGTTAGTTTGCGAAGGTATTCCTTTTCACGCTTGGAATTGGGATACTTTAAAAAACATAGCTACTAAGTGGGGCAAGTTAATAGCAATTGATAACAGTTGTGAGTTCCCTTCGTCTTTTGACCGAGTTAAAATTCAAATACTTACAAATGCTCAAGGGAGAATTGATGAGTTATTAGAGTTGAAGGTCGGGGATAATTTATTCAAAATCTTGGTGCATGAAGTTGACCCTTCCTTCAAACCTAATTCTTGGGTCCCTGAAGATTGCGATATCTCTTTAGAACTTGTTCCTCCAATTGGACTGTGATTGTTCGACAGCTGTATTCAGAGGCGTTTTTTAGTTTGTGGTTGTAATTGTTGGTTTTTGTTTTGCTATGTTATCTTACATCTTGAGGTGTATTTTAGAAATAGGGTTATTGTCTTAGGGGCTTTTTGTTTGAAGATGTAAGATTTTTAGGTGATATGGTTTGTATTGGTTTTTATTCCCCTTTGAGGGTTCGGTGTTACCACTTGTACTTGGTCTTCTATTTAATAAAATATGAGGTACTCTTTTTTCCCTTCCAGTGTTCTTCAACATACTTTTAAGTATGTGGAAGAATATGAAGGGAGTTTTTAATGAGACCTCCAACTTCTATCAAAAAAAAAAAAAGATAGAAGGTGATAGGAAAGAACATAGAAGTACTTTCTATCTTCATCCATGCTAACAAAAAGTGAATCCAATTTGAAAGATTATTGAAGAGGACATGGGAGACATGCCAGTTGAGTGTTGCTAATTTACAGTTTTGTTTGCTGTTTGACAAATTATTAGGATTTTGTTGTCTTTTTTACTTGACGTCTGCAATTTATTTTTGCCTTTTCTTAAAATAGAAGCAGATGATGAAATGCAGATCATATATTATAAAAAATGATAAGTTAAATAATGCACGCATGTACATATCTAGCTGATTTCAACTCTTTATTGTGATTTCAACTATTGTTTTATACAATAATATTAACATCTCCGTATAAAATCTGAAAATTGAAATCTGTTCCTCGAATAATTTGAGGATTTAGTTTGTCGTTGTGGACATGTTCTTGATTTCAACTTTACAGTTTGATTTCTATAAATTTACTTAAGATTGTCTTTTTTTTGCTTTGTAGTACATAGTTTTTGCCAAAATGTTACTCCTGAAGACACGAGATCTACTATTTGAAGCAAGTGTCACGTCCACATTTAAAATCAAGAGCATTTCTTGGTGGCTGTTTAGAGCTTTACTTATTCATCAACGAATTTTGGATGAGCGGTCTTCTTCACTTTTTGACTTATTGCAAGTATTTAAGGGCGAAAATTCTTATCATTTTGGAAGTTTGGAAAAAGTGACAAGTTACTGGGGTGATCAATTGCAAGATGGGGAAGCATCAACAATTGTTTCAATGGTTCATTTAGAAGCAGGGGTACTAGAATATATTTATGGCAGACTTGATCATTGCAGGTGAGTTTCAAGAAAATATGGTGTAGGCTTATTACCGATATATTGATGCTTATTTCGAAGGGTATTAATTGAACCAATTGATAGGAAAATTTATACATAGCTTGATCTGATCTTAATGGAATTGTACATACATTTGTGGAGCTGTTCATTATTGCATCAATTAACTGCTCATTATTTTGATTCATTGTTGCATGCTTCAGAATTTGAGTGATAAGTCTATTCCAAGTCTCATCTTTTGCCTGTCAATATGTATTTGTGATATTACACAAGAAATAGTTGTTTTTAACAGGTTTTACCTAGTCGACCACACCTTTTCTCAAGGCATGGTAGTTGCTTACGGGTTTTTTTTTAGTGTCAACATTTCATGCCATTTTTGAAATATGTAGAGGGAAATGTGATTATTGAATAATAAGGGAAATTTTGAAAGCCTTGTATTCTCACTCTTGGAGGTCATGTTATGCTTTGCTATTTTTCTCTTCAGCACAAACCTCTTTTTAACTCCAAACCATGATTATTTGATGAGTTGCCTGAGGTTCCTAGTTGTACAAGGTTCTTCTGTTTTGAAGCTTATTTTTGTTCATTGAAGTCAGTTTCCTCGTTGCAGGTTAGACTTCGAGTCGGCCGAATTGGCTGCTGGTCTTCAGCTCTCTGTTACTGGCATTCTTGGGTTACGAACTGTACATCAGGTAAACTTTGAGGTCTTCATAACGCATTTGTTATGAATTTTTGTTCAATTATTATTAATATTAGGAATCATCTTTCCTTAGGTAGAACCAAAGGCACAAATGATATTGGTTGCAAATACAAACTCGGAATCAGGAAGTGGTGATATAAACACTTCCATAACTCCCAACAATCAGTTGACTAGTCCAAATGTCAGTGAAGCGTCTGACATATTTATGACTCCAAAGCTGGTAGAGAATGGTAATGATTTTGGAAAGAATGAGTGTGGTGGTGTTGCTTCCACTTTAACAGCAGTCCAGCAGGCTGTGGTTTTAGCACAATGCCTGCTAATTGAAAAGGGTTGTCCACATGGTGAAATGCAAGGTATGGGGATCAAATATTATTCTATTGGACCCTTTTACTGGTATGAACGTTGCTTTTGGTTTTTGTAACATGGTATTATAATTATTTTGCTAAGGCGAGGAGTCTTCAGAAAAATAAAATCTTCCTGAATCAGTAGGCATGAATTTGAATTCATTGTGGGTGCCTTCTTTATGTAAAGTAAGGACAATAGGCTTGACATTGTTATCTAAGCTAGGAAAAGGTCTTGACATCATGAATATTGTGTTCTTTGTAGTCTCTTCTTGTATAGTTTACGCCTATTCATATTAGATTTTTTCATATTCTTGTGCGAGCATCAGATGTATTGCCTCCAAAAGTAAAAGTAAAACCCTGTTGCTTAAACCATAGCTCCTTTTCACAAGCACTTCTTTTTTTTATTCCTAGTCACCCTTCAATTATTCCCTGTCCTTGCTTCAAATTAATGAAGTGATTCTTTATCTTCTGCCGCTGTTCGCTTCTCAGATTTTAGCCTGTTTGGATTTGGCCAATGAAGAGTAAAAAAATGCTCACAAATTTAAATTATTCGAAATAATTAAGAACAATCAGTTTATTTGTTTATTTTTTTTTTGATAGGAATAGGAGGTCTCGTTAAAAACCTCCATCATCGTTGCCTCTTAAAAAGAGGCAACAACCTGAAGGAGGAAAAGAGTACCTCAATTTTATTAATAAACCGAATTACATAAGATACACTTTACACTGACAAATCCTAACAGAAACACAACATACCAACGATGACACTCAAAACGTTCAACCTATCCCCTCCTTAGCTAGCTTGTCCGCCTCACAATTACAGCTCCTAGGGACCCATCTAACCAAAATGTCCTTAGCAGAAACTAGGGCAGCAATGTCCCCGACCAAAGTTCTGAAAAAAGAGGGGGTCAAAATAGGCCTCAAGATCCAATCCACTACCTTAGAACAATAACTCTCTATCACTAATCTACCTTTCCCCGCCCAATGAGATGAAAGAAAAACAACAATTCCCTCTTTAATTGCTTTCAACTCAGCAAACAAGGGCGGACCAGGACCCACAGCAGTAGAGAAGGAGATAAGCTTAGAGCCGTTCGAGTCTCTCAGAATTCCCCCTATTCCTCCTTGTAAACCATCAGACCTTACCGCCCCATCCACATTGAACTTAAAGAAATCTGGTGGAGGGGGGTGCCAACACGTATCCTTCCTCAACTTAGGAGGGCACACTCCAATAGTGTCAGCAAGCCTTGGATCCCCTACCAATAAGTCGACTTGGATATTTGCCTTAGGATATTTTGCTAAAAACCAGTTCGCCAGCCTGAATTTGGAGATGAAAAACAGTAAAGCCAAGTCAAGTTTACCGTTTTCGAACACCACCGAATTCCTAGCTATCCAAGTAGACCATAAAACAACACCGGGGATAAACTTCCAAATAGAAGACGAAGCCATAAGATGAGGCCAAGAGCACAATAGAGACTTAGGGTCCTTAGGCAGAGCAGTTACTACATCCCAAAGACAAAGGAACTTGCTCCATAACTCCCCCGCAATCGGACACACAATAAAAAGATGTTGAATTGTTTCATCAGCCTTAAGACATAAAGGACATAAAACATTATCCAATGGTATCCCTCGCTTTATCAGCTCTACTCTAACAGCCACAAAAAAGTTTGAACCTTTGGAGGAGCCAAACCAGACCACACCCAACTGCTCCACTGGAAATTCCCTCTAGATCTGCCCGAGATGGTCAATCTACATGATTTAGCCGAGAACTGACCGTCACCAATCCCAGACCAGGCCAAAAAATCATCGACTGACTCCAACAATCCAATGTTGTCCAGCAAGGACATTAGGGAAATCCACTGATCAAGTTCCCAGTCACATAAATTCCTCCTTAATTGAATATTCCAAACCCAACCACTGATTTCCTGACTACCAAAATCAGCTACTCTCCCCCCTTTATTAGTAGAAAGAGCAAAAATCCTTGGAAATTGTTCTCTAAGAGTTGAATTATTTACCCAAACATCATTCCAAAATGCAATAGATCTACCATTCCCCACTTGCATCTTCGAGTTTGACCTCAAGCAATCACCAATTTCATCCCTCTTCTCATAGTTACTCCTAATACCTCTCCAAACCCAAGAGTCTTGAGGAGAAACTGCCGAACTTAAAGATAAGGATAAGTTGCTGCTATTGTGAATGCAGCAGAGCAAGTTCTTCCATAATGAATCCTTCTCGTTAGCAAACTTCCAAACCCACTTCCCCAGTAGCACTCGATTGATCAAACTCAGGTCCAAAACACCCAAGCCCCCCTCGTCAAACGGTTTACACACCAAATTCCAATTAACCCAATGAATCCGTTTTCTTTCTGGACCTTCCCCCCAAAGGAAACTAGCCATTATAGAATTCAGCTTACGATTAACCTTGGGGGGAATTTTAAAAATGGACATGAAGAAAATCGGCAAGGATGACAACACCGTCTTCACTAGCACCAATCTCCCCGCTAACGATAGAGTTGAAGCTTTCCAACCCGCTAACTTCGAAGAAAAATTCTGGATCACTGGTTCCCACAGCAGATCAGAGTTCTTGGACGTACCAACCGGAAGACCAAGATAAGACATAGGCAGAGTACCCACTCCACAGCCTACCACCGAAGCCCTTTCTTCTAAAAGTTCCTCTCCCAAGTTAACACCGAACAGCTTGCTCTTGGATAAATTAAGATTTAACCCTGACATTAGACTAAAGATCCTCAACACTCTCCTAACATTCAGAATTTGAGTAGGAGAATCCCTGCAGAAAATAATTAGGTCGTCTGCAAATTGTAGGTGGGTCAACAAGAAAAGATTATTCTCCCTACCAATACTAAACCCTTCAAACAAACCATTATCAGCAGCCTTTACCAGCATAAGGTTCAGCAGTTCCCCTACTATATTAAATAGCAGAGGAGACAAGCTGCAGCCTTGTCTTAGCCCTTTGCCCATCATAAATTCCTCAGTGGGAGAACCATTCACCAGAACCGAAATAGAAGCAGAGGATATGCATAGATTAATCCAAGAAATCCACTTATCTCCGAAGCCCATAACTTTCAAAAGCCTCAATAAGATCGGCCATTCTACCGAATCGTAAGCACGCAGAAAATCAGCCTTAAAAACAACTCCTTTCCTCCCCCTTTTCCTCCAAAAATCAATAGCTTCATTAGCTAAGAAAGCACATTCGTGCAGCTGCCTACCCGGGATAAAGGCAAACTGAGTAGGGCTTATAATATTTGTAATGACAGACACTAGCCTTCTAGACAGAACTTTAGAAATAATTTTGTACAGACTGCCAACTAGGCTAATTGGTCTGTAGTCTTCAATGCCTTCCGGGTTACTGGTCTTTGGAATCAAAGTAATAAAAGCGTGGTTAACCCCATGCTCCCATTTCCTTCCATTGTAGAAATCTTCAACAAACTTCATAATAAAAACCTTCAGGCCGGGCCAGAATTTCTTAAAGAACCCCATCGTAAAACCATCCGAACCCGGCGCTTTGGAGCTGTCTGACTGCGAGATTGCCTCCCACACTTCTTGCTCAGAGAAATGCCTTTCGAGAATTGTCACCTGATCATGATTCAGTTTAGCAAAGTTCAGATCCATAGCATCCACCTCAAGAGTTGAATTCGAGTTATAGACAGCCTTGAAATAGTCAGAGATAAAGCCTCTCAGCTGAACAGGGTCCGAAACAACCACCCCACCCACCTTCAATGCAGAAATGGAGTTAATTCTGCTTCTATTCGTTGCACAATGGTGGAAAAACTTGGTGTTTTTATCCCCCTCGTTATTCCACTTCAATCTAGACCGCTGTAGCCAAATACTCTCCTCCTTCCTATGCAAATTCCACAGTTCCTTCCTCGAACAGACAAGCAGTTCCCTTTCTTGAGCAGAGATCCCCCCACTCTGAAATTTCAGCTCCAATCCATTAATCCTCTCCTCCAAATCTGAGATTTCTACCGAAAACCCTCTGTGATTAATCCTTGGCCAATTCTTTATAGCTAGCTTAGTCCCTTTGAGAATGGAGAATAAGCCCCTACCCCCGAAACCATTCCTCGAAATTGCAATAGAATTTTCAACCACCCCAGGAAACCCCTCCTCCTCCAGAAGATAATTAAAAAAAAACGAAACGGCTTAGGACCCCAATTAAAACTTTCCTCAGCTAACACGACAGGATTATGATCCGAAAGGGATTTAGGAAGCATTCTTTGAATCACATTAGGAAGAAAATTTAAAAAAGATCCAGTAATAAGAAATCTGTCCAGCCTAACCCAAGTGGGGAACTCTCTAAAATTACACCAAGTGAACCGCCCCCTACCAGCGGTAAGTCCATCAGATTATAAAAATTAATAAAAGATCTAAACAAATCCATAGAGTGCCAATTCTGAGTAAAACCACATTTCTCTTCCGGAACGAGATAAGCATTGAAATCCCCCCCTATACAAACATGCACATTCAAACTACCCGCATAACACATGAACTCTCTAAAAAACTCTTCTTTGTCAGCCTCTACTGATAGGCCATATACATTTATTATAACACACTCAAAATTACTCAACTTAAACCTCCCTGAAATAGCCAAAAATCTCCTGTCCTTATGCTCAGAACCGGCCTCGAAAACATCCTCATTCCACAAACACATCAAGCCCCCTGCCGAACCATCAGCAGGAGAAAAGCTACTGCCCTGCAGGAAATTAGCCCCTAACTTCCTTCTCAAGCCACTACGACAGACTGAAAGCTTAGTTTCTTGTAATAACAGAAGGGACGACTTTTCAATAGAGACCAACCTAGCCACTGCTCTGATTTTTTCCTTCTTCCCTAGCCCCCTAACATTCCAAGTAATAAATTTAAGATTAGACATGCGAAAAAAACCTCACAACACCCCCTAACACTCCTACTCAGACGATCAGGAATCATTACATGGCCCCTTCAACTGCAACTTAACAATCTCCTCTTCTAACACCTGATTCCCCCCTTTAAACGAGATTCCCAGCATGTCACAAACCTCCCTAGTAGCAGCAGCTTCTATCCTAGCTTCCACATAATCCTGCACAGACTGCGTGGGTTCCCTGCCTTGGTCCAAGGAATCCCTGACCAAACTCCTAAACGCCCTACTATAAACTCTATCACAGAAATTAATGACCACTTCACCTTCCGAGCCCACACTGCCAGAGTGAGTAGGGGCCACTCTAAACCGTCTCTGAGAACTAAGGTTGTTAGATCGTGAAAGGACCTTGACTGGACTGGTTCTATCTCGAGGAGACGAAATAGGATCTCTAACACTCGAATTAGAACAGCAATCCTCATTAATGTTTAAACTGAGGCCCTCCATGACCAATTTCATGTTCAAAGGACCCACTGAAATAGTACCCGGACGGAGATCCCTAAGGCTACCTCTCTGCCCATCAGACTGCTCAATAACCAGACAAGCCTCCTGGCCACATTGAGAAGACTCCCCCTCCTCCCTAGTACACATCCTCCCCACCAAATAACTGCCAACTTCTGCAGGAAGGTTTGATCTAATGTTGGAATGAGTAAAGCATTTGTCCCCGGCCCAATTACATGCCGGCCCAGAGGGACAAACCGCCTTAGGAGAGACAAGGCAGTCCTCATTACCATCCAGCTGGGCCTTAACGACTGGAAGAGAAAAATCTCCAAGTCCCAAACCCCTTTTACAACCTTCAATAAAGTCCCCCCCACCTTCCTGCTGACTTGGATTCCCACCACTTGCTGTCTCCCCATAGCAAACATTCACATCCCCCATATCCTTTAAAACAACATTCTCAAACTCATTCCCCTTGATAAGCATACCACGCCCACGTGAATTATCAGTCGCTCATTGGTTCTTTGTATGGAAGTTTCATCCTATAGCCTTCATAAAATTATTTTTAAACTTTAGAAGTCTTTGATGACCAATTTCGCTCACCTTCATCTTCAGTCCAGAGAAGTTCCAGGAAAAGGGAAACAATCACATGTACTGTTTGTGGAACTTTGTAGCCATATATTGAGAATGATTTTGTAGCTATCCCTTCTATGTTTTATCATCGCATTGTTATTATAGGTCTGATATTATTTAAGTTCAGAAAAATAAACTGAATTCTTCATTGGCTAATACAAAAATACTTGAATATATAAGTATGGAAACTAATATATCAATGAGTCCCTTAGTCCTAACAACACAAATTAAGATCCCTTAATTTAAGAGATTAATATACACTGCATAATAATGGAAGTTATGGATATCTCCTTATTTAAAAGAGTGACTGAGTTCAGGTGTTAAGTCTGGTCAGTCATTCTTGTGACTGTTGTTGTAGCATAGATGGTTTCCGCTGTGTTAGTGTGGTTGTGTAGGGTTTTTTCGGTTGCTTTTGGTTGTTTGTTTATGTTGGGGGTGGCCACCTGGTTGTATCTTTTGAATCTTATGGTTAATGGAATCTTAAGGCACTCTTTTCCTCCTTCCGCTGATTAAGGAGCTTTTTTACAAGATCCTTTAATCAATAAGGAGGTTTTTAACGAGGCCTTCAATTCCTATAAAAAAAAAGAGTGACTGAGTTTCGACAAACTCGGATATTATCCGTATAGAATAGGAGTTGGTTTTATTACCTATCTTTCCTATCAGAAAGTTAAATTAAATGTCTAGGCTACTTTTCTTTATTTAAAACTTACTGCTCTATTTCTGTTTCAGGTTGGGATATGGCTCCGTATATAGAGGCAATTGATTCTCAAAAACCTTCGTTCTTCATTGTAAGCTGATTAATGCAAAAGTGTCTAGTTATCTGGGTCAAACAAAGTTGTACACAAGTTTGTTTGAGGGGTTTAAATAGTTAATATTTAACTGTATTAAATGTGAATTAAATTCCTAGATGTTCTTTTTGATTTACATATGGAGTTTTTCTTTAAACTAAGTTTGCCAGAATTGGATATGCAATCTTAATGTAGTCGAGATAGCAACATGATGCTTGTTGATCAGAAGAAAGATGATATAACCACCATCAGAATTATCTATTTGATGAACTATCAGTTTTTAATGAGGCCTGAAATTCTTATAAAAAAAAAACTATCAGTTTTTTTAATCGCAAAAAGTTGTTTGGCATTGAAATTATCTTAAACGACATTAATTTGGATTGCTTCTTGCTTTAAACTTTTGTCAGTTGAAGTGTTTCTGTAATACATTACGAATTCGATGGGAGTCTACTCGCAGTCGCACAAAGGTGCGTGCACTACAGATGATGGATAACTTGGTAAGAACAGTGTCCATACATTGATACTTTTTCTGGCCTCTTTTAAAAATATGGTTTGGCTTTGCCATTTTATATTCCTGCTTGTCCTTTGCTTATGTTCGGTTTTCTTTCTGTAATTGTAGTGTCCAATTAGTAATGTTACATTTATTACTATCGAACGTTCTTTTTTGGTTTGCAGCATACACTCATAACGTCTACATATTAATTGATACCCTATACTAGAAATACCATGATGGATGTCAAAGTTTGATGCCTTTTCTACCTTTGTGTTGAGTAACTAGGCATGCATCTTGTAGGAATTTTTCTAAGAAGTTAACTTTTGATGTTTATAAGAAGCTGCTTCTTTTATCATTGTTTCTTTTCTTAAGTCTACTGTATGTGACGTCAACTTTTTCAGTTTTAGTATTTTTTGGAGTCCATTTTGTTTTTTAACAAAATTATTCTGCACTATTTCAGGTTGAGAGTATTCATAAGCCTTCACTTGGGGTTCCACTGAGGCTTCCTTTTTGTTATGCTGTTTATATCCCGACAATTCCTGCTCTTCGGAAGTAAATATATTTTTGTTTTTGCATTAGGTTACAGCATATCTTATAATGTTGTTGGCTGTAGTTTGTATATGTATCTTCTTTAATAGAGCCAATTATTTTAACAATTTCTTGCAGTGTTCCTTTATTCACTTTTTCTCATTTTCCTCATAATTTTAGGCAATATGGTGAGATTTTAGTCAGCTGTGGTTTGATTGGAGAGGCCCTTAAAGTCTTTGAGGATTTGGAGTTGTGGGATAATGTAATATACTGCTACAGGTATGATGAACTATATTGTCTCTTTTCCGAGTTAGATTTCCTTCTATGTTCATCCGTACATTTTGTTCTTTTTGGAACTCTATGTTTCATATTTCAATATCATGTGAAATGTGACTCGCGTAAACAGAAAATTGGAGAAGAAAGCAGCTGCATTTGAACTCATCAAGAAGCAGCTGTCTACAGCACCAAAAGACCCAAAGTTATGGTATGTGGATTCACCTATTTTATTGATCTTCTCATATTGTATTTTTTATCCCTTTGATTTCAAATTAAACATGTTTGTTTCAAAGCTTGTGCCTACGCTAAAAATGCCAGTTTCATTGACTTGGCTTGGCTTTTTTTCGTTGCTTCCTAACTTGCTTTCTTTCTACCTGCTTTTACATTCTAAATTTGCTTAAAAGAGGCGATCAGAATTAATTGAACTTGAGCAAATAACTAAAACGTAGACTGATCATAACATAAAAATTCTATGTAGTAAGTGTTCAAAATATTTTTTTGGTTTTATATCGAAGTGCGCTTTTGCCTTCGTAAAGTCAAACATCAATAACAAAGTTAACAGCAAAGAGTATACATTTCCACATTTCATTTTGATTTTAGTATAATACCAATCCTAACATAACAAGTCTATATAAAAGTAAAATCATACTTGCAAAGTGCACTTTTGTCTTTCAAAAAGTTAGAAATTGGATTTCAAGTGTTGAAAAATTTAGATTTTTCATTTTTAAATCTTTGGAACTTATTTACGTAGTTGACGAATTGTCGAATTCCAAAGTGAAAAAAAATTAAAATTCAATTAAGAAAATAAAATTTAAATTTAATAAAAAATTATAAATTCCAGTTGGGACCTGCCAACAAAACTTAATTCCCTGTTTACATACAAGTGAAGTACGATTGTCATGCAATCTTAACAACGATGATGAAGATGAATCCATTTTTGAAATCTGTAAGATCTAATATGTTACTAACAAGCATCCGTGAAACGGAAAGAAAAAGTGAGGCCATCCTCCGATCCATCACTATAATCAAAACTAGCAATCAACTTTCACAAAAATGCACCAAGTCTTCCCTTCTTAGGTCTTTCAAGGTGGAGAGAATGCAGAAAGTTAGAGAGAGAGAGAATGAGTTTTCGAAAAGCAAGTTTTCTGTTAACAAGTTTAGAGAGGTCCATGGAGGAGTTTTATGGTCAGCTTTTGTTGACAATCTTAGTAAGCAAGTGCGTCGTAGTGAGTTATGGAACCGTTTTAGTGTTTATGGGAAAGTTATTAAGGTGTTCATTCCTCTTTTTAATAACAGACCGAAGTATAAGGTTAGTACGTTTGCTTTTGTCCACTTCGCTTGTAAGGAGGATCTGTGTAATGTAGTGGAAAATATGAACAATGTCCTGTTTGATGGAAGGAGAATCTCAGTGTCTGTAGCTAAGTATCAGAAAGCCTCTCCGTTAAGGAGGCAGGTAGATGAGAGGGTAGATGGTTCATCTAGTGGGGCATCAATGAGGGAAAATGTGGGAAGAGTTTTGTCTAATACTGAAAGGGCTAGGAAGATGGAGTTGATGGGTAGGTTTTATGATGGTAGGACTTTTAAGGATACGGTTGTTGGGGTGAACAAGGTTCCAGAGGGTGTCAAGAAGGACAATTTTTTTTCCTATGGAGGAGAGGAGAAAACCTATGGATGTTTTTATTCCGGTGGATGATAGGGTCTGGTTAAGATCGTCTCTTACCGGGATTTGCAAAGCAATATTTGAAGTAGATTTTGTGCAGAAAGCGTTAAGAAATGAGGGTTTCGATGTTAAGGTCGTTAGATGGGGCTTTGCAAAAAATGCTTGCTTGGTTGTTTTCCAGTCGGCGGAGGAAAAAAGGAGGGTGACAGAAGGAAACTGGGAAGCTCTATCTTTCTGGTTTGAGTATTTGGAACCTGTTTTGGATGAGGGTGGCATCCCCCAACCTTTTTTGTATGGTGTCCATTATTGGAGTGCCATTAAATTGCTGGTCCGTTCCTTTCTTTACTAGTTTGGCATCTAGGTGGGGGGAGTTAGTGAAGATCAAAGACGAAACTGCCCAAAGAGTGGACTGCAGGGTGGCGCATCTGCTGATTAGGGTCGTCAGTCCTTTTGACATCCCTGAGCATATGAGCGTGAATACTTACGGGAGGAAATTCCTGATCAAAATTAAGGTGGAATGTGGTGATGATTTTTTTCCTGAGTTGTCAGGATTGGTGGAAGAGGATGTTCCAGAGGTTCCTGGGGCGGGGAATTCCGCTAAGTGCAGTCAAGAGGACGTTCAGGTGCAGAATGGTTGGCACGTGGGTTGTCAAGACAAGTCAGGAGCTCATTCTAGGCTGTTGGAATGGGCCCAAGGATCCCACCATGACAATGTCTTGGAAAATGGAAAAGGTTTCAATGGGTGTTCAAATTCAATATTTAATTATTCGGTGGACAAGTGTAGAGGAGTGGAAGATGCAGTGGTTGTCTCCACCCAGCATGGGAAGTCGGAAGCCTTTATTGGAGGAATAGAAGGTGGAATGTGTATGGGGGGTGAGTCTCTTGAGCATGATAAAGTTGACTGGGAGAATGGGCTTCGGATAGGTACATCAAGTCCAGTGTTGAGTGGTCTGGACCCAGTTATTGGCCAAAAATTCTGTTCTGCTGCAGATAAGATTAACGATCCAGCTGGGATTGAAGATGGTATGGGGTCTGTTAAAGTGGTTAAGGTGGTAAGCTCATCAGGTGGTTCACAGCCTCGGTCTGCAAGTTCTGTGAAGTCCGGCCCGGTTCGCAGGAAGTTAGTTAGGAGTTTCAAGAGGTTTTACTGCAGGTCTAAGAGAAGAAAGTTGTGGATTAAAGACGTGCAGGCTGGTAAGAAGGATTCTCGAAGGGAGTCCAGTAAGGAGTTAAGTAGGGCTGCAAGTTCAGAGGGTGGGAATTCTGAAATTCCAGTAGCTGCTGGGTCTTCAGAAAGAGACAATGGTGGTCCAAGGATGAGGAGTCTTAATAGGAGATTTAGAAGATCACTCTTTAGGGAAGCTGTGGAACATGCCAGTGTGTCCACATTATCCTCATCAGCTTTTCCTGTGCTGTTGGAAGAAGCTGTTGCTACATGGGAAATCAGTAAGATTCTGGGAGTTTCTTTCAAGGAAGGGAAGGATGCTTTTTTACAAAAGATTATGGACTTGGAAAAAGGCTCGAGTGCGGTCAGCTGAGGTCGGGGGCAATTCATAGGTTTTTTTCTGGTTTTGTCATATAAGTTTAGAATGCAGAGGCTTATTATTTTGTCTTGGAACGTTAGGGGGTTGGGTAAAAAAGAAAAGCAGAGAGTTGTTCAGAAATTAATCTCAGAGAAAAAACCATCTTTTCTTTTTCTTCAAGAAACAAAACTTGAGAATTTACCTTTCGCTTTCTTGAGAAGGAGTGGATTGAATAAGTTGCAAGGTTTTGTTGTGTCTCCAGCAGAAGGCTCTTCAGGAGGTATTTTTAGTTGTTGGGATGAGTCTGTTTTTGTGTTAGAAGAGCATCATATTCATAAGAGGTTTTTAGCAGTGTTCGGGAAATTTAAGTCCAACCAACTTAAATGTGGGTTTATTAATGTCTATGGTCCTTCTGTGGAAGAAGAGAAGGCAGGGTTTTTTGAAGAACTGGGACTGTTCATTAATGGTTACAATGTCCCTTTGTGCGTGGGAGGAGATTTCAATGCCTACTTAACAGAGGATGAGAAGGATGGTATGGCTCAAAATAGGAACTCGATGGAAATCTTTAGGCTTTTTATTCAGCAAACGGGTCTTATTGATTTGCCTCTAATAGGGGGGAAATTTACATGGAGCAGCAATCGGGATGTTCCAACTGTTGTTAAACTAGATAGGTTCCTGGTTAATGTCAGGTTCTCAGAAGAATTTTACTGTATCAACCAATTTTTACTACCAAAGTCTATCTCGGATCATAATGCTATTGTTCTTGAGAGTGGGGAAGATAATTGGGGGAAGAGGCCTTTTAGATTGTTCAATTATTTAATGTCTGAGGATGGTTTTGAAGAGAAGGTGGTTGAGTCCATTAAGGAGTTCAAGGAGGAGAAGAAAAAAGCTGGAATTTTGAGCATTCTAAGGAATACAAAGGCAGCCATTAAGAGCTGGTCTGGGGTAAGGAAACAGTTTCCACGGCTGGATATTGCTGCTCTGGAAGATAATATTCATCAGTTTGAATTAAGTTTGCAGCAAAATCAGAGTGCCAATGTAGATGTCAATGCGGCAGAATTGAGGAAATGGAGAAATGAATTGTGGAGACTTTACAGAGTTGAGGAGCAAATTTGGTTTCAAAATTCAAGAGAAAAGTGGGTGAAAGATGGAGACCGAAATTCTAAGTTTTGTCACACAAGTGCTTCCATTAGGAGGAGGATGAATTCTATGAATGCAATTCATGTTGATGGTAAAATTATCAAAATCCGGTTATTATAAAGTCTACTGTCAGAGAACATTTTTTTAAAGCTTTTAATCATCGTTCTACCTTGGAAGTGGAGGATATTAATTTGAACTTCTCAAGAATTTCTCTCGAGCAGCGTTTGTTGTTAGAGAAGGAGTTTACGGAAGAAGAGATTTGGGATACCATAAACTCGTGTGATAGTAACAAAGCTCCTGGGCCAAATGGGTTGAATATGGGTTTCTTCAAAAAATTCTGGCCTCACTTGAAGAGGGATATTCTAAAGTTTTTCCATAATTTCTTTTTGGGAAAGGAGTGGGAGAATGGCATTAATCATTCTTTCATTACCTTAATCCCGAATGGTTCTAATATTGGGGGTTTGGATGATTTAAGACCTATTTCTCTCGTAGGAGGGATGTACAAGATTCTGTCCAAGTGTCTGTCGAGAAGGTTGAGAGGTTGCATCAAGGATATTATCAGTGACTCACAATTTGCTTTTATTCCGGGTCGACAAATTTTGGATTGTTCTTTTATTGCTAATGAAGGTATCGACTTATGGAGGAAGAAAGGTTTGAAGGCTTGTGTCTTTAAGGTGGATTTTAAGAAGGCTTATGATACGGTAGATTGGGACATTCTCTTTAAAGTTTTGGATAAAATGGGTTTCGGATCAAAATGGTGTAGCTGGATTCGGACTTGTGTCACTACAGCTTCGATGTCAGTGCTGGTTAATGGTGTTCCTACGGATGAATTTTCGTTGTCTAGAGGTCTTAGACAGGGTTGTTCCCTCTCCCCTTTGCTGTTTAATCTTGTTGGTGAATTGCTTAATCTTCTGATTATCCAAGCAGTACAGTCAGGCCTGTTTTGTGGCCTGACAGTTGGCAAAGACGAGAATGTTGTTAATTTGTCTCATCTGCAATTTGCAGATGATCTCATCATCTTCTGCAATGCATCGAAGACTCAGATTCTTAATGTTAAGAGGGTTCTTCGAGTTTTTGAAGTTATGTCAGGCCTTAAATTGAATCTCACTAAGAGTAAATTATTTGGGATTAATATTTCTGAGGAAGTGGTTGCTCAGTGGGCTAATGCTATAGGTTGTTTGGTAGGTCATTTCCCGTCCGAATATTTGGGGCTTCCTCTTGGTGCTAAGAGAAATTCCCAGCACATGTGGGATCCAGTAGTGCAGAAGTTTTACAACAGATTAACAGGCTGGAAGGCTAAGACAATGTCTATGGCAGGCAGATTGGTTTTATTAAAGGCAGTTTTGTGTGCTTTACCAACCTACTATATGTCCTTGTTCAAGATTCCTGTTTCGGTATATGATAAACTCAATGCTATCATGGCTAGATTCTTATGGGGAGGAGGAGTTGGAGGTTTGCTTATGGAGGAGGTTTGCTCTAGTTTTTTGTCGTTCAATGAAAAACTACCTACTAATGCTTCTTGGATCTGGAAATCGATGGTTAAGAACCATTTCAATGAGGATCAATTTGGAACTAAGTTTCGAAGTTTGTTTAATGTTAGGATGGGGAATGGTGGGAGTATCAGATTTTGGTTTGATAGTTGGGCGCTTGATGTCCCTCTTAAAGTGGTTTTCCAAAGATTGTTTGCTCTGTCGATAAACAAAAATGGGAAGCTTAATGAGTTTGGGGAGTTTCGGTCTTCAGTTTGGGTTTGGCATATTCAATTGAGAAGGAATTTAAGTGATTGGGAATTAGATCAGTTTGCTGAGTTAATGGATGTTATCCATAATTTCACTCTAAATAATGAGATGTCAGATGGTATGGTTTGGAGAGGGAATGGGGAAGGAATTTTTTCTGTTAATTCGTGTTTGAAGTCTTGCTGTCCTGTTTTGACAGCAGATTCTTTTTGGATGAAGCATATTTGGAGGGGTTTAGTGCCTCCTAGAGTGGAGATCTTCATGTGGCAGGTCGTGTATCAAAGGTTGCCAGTTAAACTTGAATTACAGAAGAGAGGAGTTTCAGCAATTGTTGATGTTGTTTGTCCATTATGTAAGAAGGTGGATGAATCCTCTTCTCATTTATTTTTTACTTGCTCGGTCGCGTGGTCTATTTGGAATAATTTTGAGATTTTGGGGAGTTTGTTCAGTGTTACAAGCTGATGCTAAAAGTTTTTTGTTAGCTTGGGGAGATTTGGTGCCTAGTTCTATAATTTGGTCGTTCATTCCGGGAGTGGTGTTTTGGACAATCTGGAAATGTAGGAATGCGATTGTGTTTGATAAGGGGAGTTTAGATCAGACTGATCTTTTCTTTATGGCAAGATATCGGCTGGTTGCATGGTTCTTAGCTGTCTATAAGGAGACGTCTATTCTAATGGACTGTCTTATTTGTGATCCTGCGCTTGGGGATTGTTGCGCTAATTCTAGATCTTCAGTCATTAAAATTAAGGCCTGGACTCGGCCTCCAAAGGGCTACATAAAGTTGAATGTGGATGCAGCTGTTACTGCAGATTGGAGGAAAAGTGGAGTTGGGGGAATTCTAAGAGTGGAGAATGGCTCGGTTGTGGGTTCTTTTCAAGAGGCTTCTGGTCCGGGTCCTCCCATTTTGATAGAACTAATGGCAATTAAGAAGGGTTTGTTTTTCTTTGCTTCAATCCAGCAACAGTTTGAGGATCGCTTGATTGTTGAAACTGATAGTAAAATTGCGGTGGACTGGATCAAGAACTATGATAGATGTCCCAATGTATATGTAGACCTTGTGAACGAAATTGTTACTAAGTTAAGAGGTTTGGGAGGCATTATTAGATGGGTTGCTAGGTCAGCTAATGTTGAGGCTGATGCCTTAGCTAAGGCTGGTATTGGCTAGCTTTAAAGTCTTTTGGTTATGTTTGGGTCTGTTATTTTTAAGCTATGGGTTGGTGTGTATAGGGAGTCTATATGATTGTTCCCTAAGTATTATGTAATTTATGCGTTTTAATGAATTTTAAGGCACTCTTTCCCTCCTTCCGCTGATTAAGGAGCACTTTATGTTCCATTAATCATGAAGGGGGTTTTAACGAGGCCTGCCATTCCTATAAAAAAATATATATATGTTACTAACAGTTTATCTAGAGTAATAATAAACTAGTGTAATAAAATAAAATATTAATTTTTTTAAAATTTACCTTTTCAGAATATGATATTTTTGATAATTTTAAATGAGATATTTACTTTCATAAATAATTATAATTAAAAATTTTATAAGAAAATGAAGTGTTTATCTTCTTAGTCCTCTACCTGTTGCGACTGAAAGAGGCAGAAACAAATTAAATCAATTGAATTAATGGCATGATTGGCATCATGCATTTACTCTGTGTACTAGTTTTTGGTTCGGTTGTTTCTTCTTGAGGGATCAAAGAGTCATCACCCTAGCTTATCATAGTAGCTGCTATGATTTTAATATGTAATTTTTATTTTGTAGGTGTTCATTGGGTGATATTACACATAGTGATACCTGTTATGAGAAAGCCTTGGAAGTTTCAAATGATAGGTCAGCGCGAGCTAAGGTGACTGACTTAGGTTTCTTATAACTAAATTGGTTTTAGTATGTTTTGTTTTAGTATTTTCATTATAATGGTCTTTAATTAAATTTTCATTTCCTTTTTCTTATTACTTCCTTTTGTATGTGCCAGCGATCTCTTGCTTATAATGCATATGGAAGAGGAGAATATGAGAAGTCTAAGATCTTATGGTATGTTTACTTTATTGCTTCTCTACTTTTCTGTTATAATGTCTCATAATTTTTGTAGCTTATAATTTATTTGGGTCGACATAAAATGAAAAGTATTATTTGGCTGACAAACTGATTACACTTGAACCAGGGAGTCTGCCTTGGCCTTGAATTCATTGTACTCAAACGGATGGTTTGCACTTGGTGCTTCTGCACTGAAGGTATGGAGCTTGATATTTCTGTTTTGCTTCTTGCGCTAGGCAACACGTAGATCTATTTATCAGGTTTTGCACCAATTTTGCATGCAGAGAGTATATATAACAGTATGGATTTCTCATTCAAAAAATAAGAAGAGATTTTTAAAATGCAGGTTTGTTTCTTTGTTATAAACCTTTTAACTTATGATTAACATTATCATGTACAGGCTAGGGATATTGAAAAGGCGCTTGATGGTTTTACTCGTGCCGTGCAACTTGATCCCGAGAATGGAGAGGCTTGGAACAATATTGCTTGTTTGTATGCCCTTTTCTCTTTCATCGTTTATCTTATGTTTTCATTTTCTTTCCCAAGATATATGTACTTTTCTCCTCTTCTGGAAATGCCAATCACTGCTTTTATCCCTGGGATAATTTTGTGTTTGGGGATTCTCCAATAAAATGGGGTTGGGTTTTATATTTTGCAGCTTTAACATTTTTTTCACAGGCTCCAATTATTATTTTTCTTATATATGCATCTTAACTTTGGATTAATAACATTTTCTAGATTAATGAAGAGCTCTCTACCCATGTCCTCTAAATGAATGTTGGACACGGATGCTTCATGGAAAATGAAGAGCTGGAGCAACATAACATTCTACATTTGTGCCATACTTAATCAAAAAGTACAATTAATCTGTAAAAGTGACATCTCTGAAGTGGAAATAAAGATTTACAGTTGGGGTTATCTAAAGATTTTGGTTTGGTACAAGCTACTATTGAAGAAAGTTTTTGCCTATGACATACTACGGAACAATTGTTTATTTTGTAACTAACAAAGTCATGTTCAAGTTTCATTTAGACTCGTTTGGGAGTTTAGAGATGTGACTTTTGAGATCTTTAAAGCTTGGTTCCTTGACTTTTTGAGATATATCTTTGTTGAACCGCCTTTTGTCATATCTTTTGATCTGAACCAAATATCACTATTTGAGTTTTCTGCTTCCTTCTATGTGGGAATTACTCTGTCATAGTTCTTATCCACTTTGATGGAAATTGTGTCATTATTTTCGATCGTATAGATTTTGGTTCATGGAAAATTTAATCAATTGGAACATATCTGTTGATCATGCAGGCATATGGTTAAGAAGAAGAACAAAGAGTCCTTTATTGCCTTCAAGGAGGCCTTGAAATATAAGTAATGCTTTTTTTTACTTTGATTAAATCACACAAATCACACATTATGCAAACACCAGGCCTGTATTTTCAAACACACTGTTTATTGGTGTATGGTACTTGCAATCTGTTTTGATTACAGACGGGACAGCTGGCAGATGTGGGAGAACTACAGTAATGTTGCTTTTGATGTTGGCAATACTGGTCAGGTAATAATCCTGCCTAAGCTGTATGGTTTTGAGGTGTTACTTAGCTGGTAAGAATTAGCCATGTTACCATACCCCATCTGGTATAACATTGTGCAAGTCCTCTCTTTGGCCCTTATCGGGGGGCTCTGTTTGATTCATGTGAAGATTGCATTATGCAGATGATAGGTAAAATTTTATAGCATTTAACTATTATTCCCTGATTATTTTGAGTTTCAGATTATTCAAGTTTAAGTTGTTAGGTTAAGTTTGAGTTCAGGTCACTTTTATATATATATATATATATATATATATATATATTTTTTATAGAAGTAGGAGACCTCATTAAAAACCTCCCTCTTAGTTGGCTCTTGAAAAGAGGCAACTAGCCGAAGGAGGAAAAGAGTACCTCAATTTATTGATAAGTCAATAATTACATAAGATTACACCATTACACTTGTAGCAACCATAAACAGCCAAACCCAATTACTACTTGTAATAAAAAACTAAAACAGTCATCCAATCCCCTTCTTAGCTAATTTATCTGCCTCCCAATTACAGCTCCTAGGAATCAGTCTAACAATAATCCAAACCCTTTTTTATATTAACTTGTAGTTTTATTTATCTTTTCTAATAACACACACACACACACACAGAGAGTATGCTTGATCTAGGTTTAATGTTGTCATTTGACTTAAGCTGAGGGTCAGTTTTTGGTTGATCTGGGTCTGGATTACCTCAGGTTCGTTGTTTACTCAAAATATGTTCAGTGGGTTGGTTGCAGTTTTTTCTGTTTATTCAGGTTTGGGTTGTTTAGATTTAGGCTCTGCTTAGAGGGTGGAAAGAAAAACGTCCAGAAAGGAGAAAAAGTAGGATGGAAAACATGTTATTTCTTCTGTTGATGTGCTTTGTATGAAAAAAAATGCAAAATGGAGAAATTTTTTCAAGTTTTTCCATCCACTGCTTTTTTTTTTATGGATTAATTGTCAGATCTGTTGAAAGAGGTTTAATTGACAGCCTCTCCCTCCATTTGCTGAATGTGGACGGATTGGGTTTGTGGGCTTGGAAAGAAAACATCCATCTCTCTCCTTTTCTTTTCGTTGATTTTCTCTTTTATCGAAGCACACCTAAGATCCACTTTGTTTCCCCTATTCCATCCTTTCAGTTTTCTGCTGTGCCAAGCAAATCCTTAGAGTTAAATTAGGTTAAGGGGTTCAGCTTCAGATTGTTTGGGTGGATTATTCCGGTCAGTTTAGCCTTTTCCCGGTCCTCTTTGAACCCAGGAGAAAAAGGTTATTCCTAATAGCTAGTAATATGTTACAGACAGTTCACTGTACTGTCTTTGCCACGCTGCTGGTATGAACTATATGAATCTGCCCCGTTGTGTAAGATGCTAAATGATGAAATAGTTAGTGTATAAATGGAAACGACTTTCAATGAGATAGAAAGTAACTTGTGGTTTTGAATGAGACCATTTGGTAAGATAAATCTAGACCTTTTTGGATATAAATGGAAGCGCTTAAATTATGACTTAGTTTTGTGCATTTAAATGAGACCTTGTGACTATTCTTTCTAGTTAGTCACAAGATTCTCTTCATGTGAGCATTTTCTCAAGTGGCCGTTAGTTGAATGACTATTACTTTCATTTTGAAGTAGAATATACATCTTTTGTTTTTTTTTTAATATTCTTTTTACTTATCTTTGTAGGCGCTGGAAGCTATTAAGATGGTTTTAAATATGACCAATAATAAGAGAATTAATGTTGAATTACTCGAAAAAATCATGCAATATTTGGAGGAAAGGACTTCAATTAGACTGCCTGCTGTAAACAATGTTGATGATCTTTCCATTCAGACCAGTTTCAATGCACTTGTAAATTCTGTTAACCCATCTGGAAATGCTGAGCAGACTGCTGGAAATTTGGGAGGAAATGAGCATTTGGTGGAGTTTCTTGGGAAAATTCTACAACAGGTTTCAAATTCTTTCATGGTTCTCATGTTCTAGTATCTTTTCTCCTTATCACGAGTGTTGGTGAACTCTCTCACTTTGGGAGTTAAAAGTTGTCTCCTTACAGGGTTCTAATGCTTAGCGCCAATCACAGAACTTCTAAATTTGTTGTCATATGGATCTGTATGTACTTAAACATGCTACTTTAGGCAGGCATTACTTGGGCTGTGCGATGTGGCTAAATTATGCCTATGTTGATGATATACTTGCGTTTCTAATTGAAGTGAGGCTACTCTCTTTGTAGATGTAGCTAAGATACAAAAAAGTAAATAAGTTATGCATTTGGAAACAGTAATTACTATCACCACAATATCTAATGCATTTGACTTGTCCGATACAGATAGTTCGAAGTGAAAGTCGGCCAGAATTGTGGGGCTTATATGCAAGATGGCATAGAATTAAAGGTGACCACACAATGTGCTGTGAAGCACTCTTGAAGCAAGTTAGATCATATCAGGTATCTCCATTTACATTTACAGTGCCTTATATGCTATTAATGCTATTAATGCTACTGTAAATTTTATAATTTTAATTTTTTAAATCATTATGATCGACCAACTATATATGCTTATTTGAGCTTCTGACTCTGGACTGGGTTAAGTTGTAAACTCTTCCCTCCCCAGGAGAGCTTTTTAGTGATTTTATTGTTGTTATGCCATGAATTTAAGTCTCTCTCTGTCTCAGGGATCTGATTTGTGGAAAGATAGAGACCGCTTTAAAAGCTTTGCACAGGCCTCGTTGGATCTTTGTAAGGTCTACATGGATATCTCTTCTTCTACCAATAGTCGTCGAGAACTACTTACGGCTGAGATGCACTTGAAGAACACACTAAAACAGGCAAGTTGTTTGGTATTACTATTGTAGATTGCGTTGTTGCCAGCATTTATGATTTATCTTTTCTATATTTTAACTTTTAAACATTTTCCAACTTTTTACGTAATTCATTTTTAGTGATTCATCTGTAAGGATTTGAAATATATTCGTTTTCATCATACATTTTAAGTTGAAGATTCTTTAGGCCCCAAATGCATGATCAATCCAACAAATCATGTATATTGAGCATTAGATCTAACAGTCCGATTAACTAAAACAACTCAAAACGAAATGACTTTGCAATAAATAATTGTTACTCGAGTGTAGTTGATCTCGACTTTTTCTTAGTCACTAGTGCATGGTAAGTCAGTCATTTATGTTTATCCTTAGTCATGTTGTAACAACTTGCTAGAAGTATGAATTACTTGTAATGTTGTTGTAAGTGGCATTTTAGGCTGGGGCATTTTCAGACGCCGAAGAATTCAGGAACCTTGAAACTTGTCTTGATGAAGTAAGAATAAAGCTGCAGGCAGAGTTTACAGCTACTTAAAAAGTCGGAAGTAAGAAAGTTTTGCAGGATTCACTATCCACTTCTGAAGGTAGGCTTGCACCTTCTTTTATTACCATGCGAATCTATGTTTTTTGTTTAGGCTAAATTTGTGTGGTCATAATTGGTGTTGTCAAGATGGCGTGTCTAGGCTAAATCATGTATATTATTAGCCCATAAAATATCAACATAACTGCAGATAAACTAAACCACCGTTTAGAGTTTATTATCATCTTGATATATACACTTATATATGTATATATATATATATATTTGGCACATATGTTGACATTTATATGTGTACACATATTAGGCACATACATAAGAAAGACGCTCACAAAAACATAATCTAGTGCTTGGATGGCACCTTGATTCCACAACATTAGTCATAATCGTACATTGTCTCTTTTCTTTTTCATGTAGGGAAAACATGGCTGACGAAACGAAGGCGATACAAATTACGAATTGCTTATCTTCTCCATGGTTGTTCCAGCCAAGTGGTCAACGGTAGCCAAGAAAGCCATAGTCAAAATAAGAAGAGCAAAGAATTCCCCTACAATTAGTTTTTGTTCTAAAACCATATTTTCTCTATGCACTCGAGTTTTACCAGGTGGAGGACTTAACTTACTTTTGGAGAAATAGAAACATAATTTGAAGATCCTATGCGTTTACAAATGTAATAGTTATGTAAAACAAAAGATTTATCGTCTTCAAGTTGTATGATTTGTGTTTTAGTTGTTTTCTTTAAATTATTTTATATCCGATACTAATATTTAACCATGGTCATCATATTAAAGGATTTGAAAGGTTTTCTTTCCATCGGCTTCCCTGCCTTGCTAGTCCCTAAAAGTAAAAGAAACCATTTACAAAGTTTTTTGGTATCGGGTTCGTGTCCCTTATGCTGTAAAGCTGAAGGAGACTACTCAAGTAATTGAAGGTGTTCAATCATACTCTGCAAAACATTGTTGTGGGGGTTCAATATCTAATTCATATGTCTTCCATTTTTGCATTTTGTAAGAAAAAATGTATTCTACATTCAAGAATAGTTGGAAGTGAAAATAGGTAGTATCGCATTTTCAGTATTTTAACCTAATCAATACATGCTATGGTTTATGGAATAAATTCAAGACCTTACAAACGAGTAAGATCAAAATTATTATACCACAAACAAAAAAGAAATATTATGCAAAAAAGTTACGACTAAAATCATCGACGAAAGGATGGTAATTTTTATGAGGATTCACGTTTATGGGTGGTAAATTTTTTTAAAAAGTATTAAGAAAGATTATTTATTTGTTTAAATTTAATTTTTAATATAATATTGAGGGAAGATACAAATACCAAAATTATAAGTTTCAGGTTTTCTCCAACAAATCAGAGTGCCGCAGCGGAAGCTTGGTGTGCCCATAACCCACAGGTCCCAGGATCGAAACCTGGCTCTGATATGTGGAGGTTGATTTCTTCTCTAACTGTTTCTAAAAATTTTACTACTTAGCACAGCGCAATCATCTAACAACCTAAGGATAGAGCTTTCTCTCTTCTTTGGCCAACTGCGGAAAGTTGATACACCTGATGTTTATCTCAAATCCTTCGATCACAGCAACCTTTATTTGTAGTATCCCAAGAGAAATCGGCAAATTAAGCAACTTGATAAGCTTGTACTTGCATCATAGCCAACTAAGTGGCATGGTTCCTAGCAAGATGGAAAGTCTTGCATGCAATCAGAAACATACACGCTGGGATCCCTACGCAATGTTAAGCCTCTCGACTCGCAACTTCTTCAAGTTTTTTTATTGCCACACAATGCAATTTTTTTTGGGGATAAATTGAGTGTTTTTATTATCCAAGAAGCAGTCAAAACCTGCTACAAAGAACAACTACATCATCAACAAAAGAAAACTACAGCCCCCAAGCAGTTAAACCTGCTACAAAGAACAACTATATCGCCAACAAATGAAAACTACAGCCCCCAAGCAAGACAAAGACTCTGATTTACAGCATCAGAACTAATGGTTTTGCTATACACCTTGATTCAAACAATGCCTTTTAACTCCCCTAAACTGCCTATAATTTCTTTCTTCACATATACAATATATGTAGGCACACCAGGCCACACGCAGAATATACACCAAGAGTGACTTCCCTTAAAACCGAGAAATGGCCCAGTCAGCTCACCCCAGCTTCTCCCAAGTCCGTACACACTGCAGAGTCTCAAAATAGACTCCCAAATCTCTCGAGAAAAACCACACTAAAAAAATATGTGATCTCGAGACTCCTTCCCTCCTCCATCACATATCCGGCACCCCTCATCCACATGAATTCCCATTTTTATCAACCTATAAGCAGTAGGAAGTCTGTTAAGTATTGCCATCCATGCAATAATAGAATGCTTAGGAACATTCGTAGAAAACCACACAAGCCTCTGCCATTCAACTTTGTCCTTCCTACTACTAGTCTCACACCACAACCATCTAGTTGTTATCCTTCCCCAATCAGGATTACCAGCACACAATGCAAATTGAAAACGATTACAGACAAGAAAATGGATAACACATTAATGATGATAATGTTCCATTTAAGAAGTAATTTCATAATGGATTATTCCTATTTGATCTTCAGGTCTAGCGGGAGGATGAGTCTTGTATTGCTGGGTGATTTGCCCATGTCTTTGGTGAAATGTGGCAATGGTTCAACCCATTTGTCTCCCTGCAAGTTATGGAAGAAGGCAAAAGAGTATCGACTTCTGTTTAGGCCTCACCACTCCATGAGTCGCGCTCTTGAATTTGTTGTTGCTCAATACCTGAATAACATCGCATAAGTTGACGACTAATGTGCCTTTTGTAGGGATAACAGGGATCCATTCCCCGTCCTTGCGAACTTGCAGACCACCTGCATCATCCTGGAACACGAAGCTGAAGCAATTGCCATCTTCGTGTTGTGTTAAGCCGTTGTTATAGGAATTGGTGGCGGGGAAGTAACGGAGAGCCACCATGAAATCCCAGCTCTTGTCATGGTTGAATTCTTTGAGGAAGTTTTTGGGGGAGACCCAAGCACTGATTCACGACTCTCTCCACAAGTGCGGCCGTTTTTGTCAACTTGGAGAATACATCTTCTGGCACTTGTCTACCAAACACAGTGAATGATGTCTAATGAGATATAAGTTTCATCCATCTTAAAATGGTTGGAGTATTAATAGTGTGTTAGCTAACGATTTTATCTATATCGGGAGTTTTTTATTCTAATGTTAAATATTAGGGGGTAAAATGTTCAAAAAAGAAAAAAAGAATAGAGATCAAAATGATAATTTTAATAAACTTTAGGGGTTGTTTTTGATATCATGACTTTACAATAATAGTCGTAACTTTTTATAATTTTGAATATTTTCTCTTTTTAATAAATTTAATAATTCTATCCCAAAAAAACCTCAAATTCAAATTTGATTATTAATAACTGAGTTTAAAATTAAATATAAAAATTAATTATTTTTTTATAAAATAAACAAATTTGATTGAACCTAATCTAACAAACTCAAACTTTTTTTCTTCTCAAATTTCAAGTTAATGCAGATCTCTTTCCTATTGAATTCCAGTTATCTCAATTACACCTCCAAACCATAACTCATATTTTACACAACACATAATTGAAATTAGCATAGACCAATAGTCTAGCGATAATTATATATACCAGCAAGTGCTATTTGTTTTTAGTATGTCTATTTGGGTAAATTACCCTAATAGTAACTAGGATTTAGGATGCTATTGATTTGGTCATTCGAAAAATTTTAATCACTCAATTGTTAAATTCTCGAATCGGGTATGACTCGTGGTACCACCTTGTAATAATATGATCTTATACACTACTTTAATTTGCATGGCTTTATACTTTATTCTGTCTTTGTACTGACACCTTTCTATTTGTTATAGACTTATAGGTCTATGTGGAGCTTGTCTTTTTATGCATTATGTGCTATTAAAACAGCAGTAAAAGCTTTGCACAGGCCTCGTTGGATCTTTCTAAGGTCTACATAAATATCTCTTTCTACCAATAGTCGTCGAGAACTACTTACAGCTAAGATGCATTTGAAGAACACACTAAAAGAGCGTGGTGAGTTCTCAGTAAAAAATAATTGATATTAACTTAATTTTCTATACCAAAGCAACAAATCAGAGTGGCGCAGCGGAAGCGTGGTGGGCCCATAACCCACAGGTCCCAGGATCGAAACCTGGCTCTGATAATTTGAAATTTTTATCGTCAGCTTTCTTGAAATGGCATGGTTCGTAGCACGACGGAAAGTCTTGCATGCATTTAAGAACACTCACACTGGGAATCTGGGATCACTACAAGCCTCTCGACTTTGAACTATTTCGAGTTTTTTTATCGTCACGCAAAGCAAATTGAAAACGATTACAGATAAGAAAATGGATAACGCATTAATGATGATGTTCCATTTAAGAAGTAATTTCATAATGGGTGATTCCGATTTGATCTTCAGGTCTAGTGGGAGGATGAGTCTTGTTCCTCACCCTCAATTGCTGATACTCACTAAATCGAAAACCTCTGTATTTGGGAGGTTTGCCCATGCCTTTGGTGAAATGTGGCAATGGTTCAACCCATTTGTCTCCCTGCAAGTTATGGAAGAAGGCCAAAGAGTATCGACTTCTTCCTTTAGGCCTCACCACTCTGTGGGTCGCGCTCTTGAATTTTTTGTTGCTTAATACCTGAATAACATCGCCTAAGTTGACGACTATTGTGCCTTTTGTTGGGATTACAGGGATCCATTCCCCGTCCATGCGAACTTGTAGACCACCTGCATCGTCCTGGAACACGAAGCTCAAGCAATTGCCATCTTCGTGTTGTGTTAAGCCGTTGTTCTCAGATTCTGTGGCGGGGAAGTAACGGAGTGCCACCATGAAATCCCAGCTCCTGTCATGGTTGAATTCTCTGAGGAAGTTTGTGGGGAGACCCAAGCACTGATTCACGATCCTCTCCACAAGTGCGGCCGTTTTTGTCAACTTGGAGAATACACCTTCCAGTACTTGTCTACCAAACACAGTGAATCAAATTTGTCAAGTTGATGGAACATTTTTTGTTTTTAGTCCATAAATATAGAAGAAAAAAACATACTTGAATTGAGGAGGGTTTTGAGGGAAAACGTTGAAGCTAGATCCCGGTGGAAACATCAAAAGATACTCATTCTTGTCGGGCGATTGTTGAGGCCGAGTGTTGTATCCGGTACGGATAGGCGCATCCGACGGTGCACTGCTTTTCAGTTTCTCTTCGGACTGATAGTCGAAGAAAATCCTGGAAAGTTCCAGGGCACGTTGCAGCAAGTCTACGGGCACACCATGGTTCACGATTTGGAAGAAGCCGTGCTCTGAACAGGCTTTTGTAATGATTTCCATGGCCTTTTTCTTGCCATCCACGTCATCTTCGCTGAAAAACGGTGAGAGATCAACGGTGGGAATCAGGGCCTCAGCCATAACCAATGTTATTCCGACTAGCTAGATCGATTCAAGCCTTTTCTTTTGCATTGATGAACTGTGGGGATGTTTTGTATATAAAATATTAGGATGCAAGTCATTCCAAAATCAACCACCCACCCACTTCAGTTGTTTTTTTCTTCAAGTTGTGTCTTGTTGCTAGTTGATTAGATGCCTTTTTCCTTCAACAAAATGGATAACAAGATTCTCTTTCAAATGCCTTCACGATATATAAATATAACAAAAGAAAGAGACAATCTCTTGCCAAAGTGGATGTACGGTGATGGCACTAAGTTCAAGTATTTTTATGCTTGATTTACGTTACTCCAAAGCAGTACCAGACATTTCTAGGTTTAATTAATATTATCTTCTTTCACTGCTAAATACCATACTGTAGTTAGCTCACATACCTGCAACTACTCCAATTATCCTTCAGTTAATTTGTTATAACCTTTAGCTATTCTGTTGATAGCCAATACTCTATAGTCACAACTAAACTCTTGTACATAATAGAGGATTAGCTTTTGTATAAGAGACACATAGTAATCATTTTGAATAAAAAGATAAGTTCTGTATAGTTTTATGTTCTTCATCTTCTTGCTTCAACTTCTTTAAAGTTCTTGCATACCATTTCTTTATTTTATTGGGACTTTTGGCATGGTATCAAAGCGTGAAATTTCCGGTCAATAATTGATTCTAGTGACCGATAAAGGTCAAGACTGGTCGTGGTTATGGAGGCTGATCACGCCCTCATTGTCAGTTGTACGAGAAAACTGGACATTTGGTCCATAGGTGTTACTATCATATCGATCAGTCATTTTATGGTGTTTCTAGAAACAACAAAAACAATTCATTTGTTAACCATTGCTATTACAATGAATCTACACTACCAGTTACTCAACCTTTGAATGTTTTCTCAATCTGCTTCAGTATTTTTTTGAGACTCAAGGTTCCACAATATGCTGCACCAGTTTCAATAATGAATGCTCTCCTTTAGTTCTTCATCAATTATTACATGCTCCAACTGTTAAAAAAAATATTCGACCGTCCATAGCAATCATAAATTCCAACTTTTATTCTGTTTCCATCGTGAGGTAGAAAAGAGATAAATGATGATGAGGTGATTTCATCCTTTCTGTGTCTTATTCAAGAGCTTTTATAATGTTTTTAACTGTGGGTGTCAAATATCAATCATAAGGTTATTATTTTCATTTGTAGGTTAGCAGACTAAGTCTAGATTTGATTCTAATAAATCACATGGGCCTATCAGATATCATGTCGAAAGTTCTTGTTTCTCGAGGTGTAAGACTCTGGAGGCTCTTTCTCTGGAAATGTTCTCTCGAGACCATGACTGTGGAAGGGTTCTCAGGAAGCATTAAAGCGCGGAAATGATATAGCGGAGACCTTTGGCGGATGTATAATAATCCTCTGATGAAATTTTTTCCGTATCTTCTTCCTTCAACGTCAAAATTCAGTTCCTTCTCATTCTTCCTCTCAGTCTCTTAGCTTGGCATAAAGTTCGTCTTGTAGCAAAAGTTATTCTCAAGAAGTTGAGTTTGATTATCATTAGACTTATATTCCACAGTCTGTGTATCAAAAAAAATTCTTAAAATGAAGAAAAAAATTACATATGAATTTAATACTCGGGTTCAATACTCAAAACAAATCTATGCCTTAAAATGAACAAGGCTCTATTAGTTAATTGTTCTATTAGTACATGGTACATGCAATACACTTTGTTCAATACACACACATACAGGTTAAAGAAATGCTTACTCATGAATGAAAATAACCCATCTTTTATCGCAACAGCACCATATGCATTCCACACAACTTCATTGATCGGTCCAACCATCTAAAAAGTTGGTTCAGATGATATTTATCACAGGTTAAATGATGTTGCAGCTCCCTTGACGGCTGAAGAAGGCAGACCAACGATTAGTCACTTGAGGGAACATATGACTGCATTTTTAGTAAATGCATACAAGATATGGTACGTACCTTATTGTTCGTTCATAACGGGTCAAAATTTGCTCAAATTTAAGCCACTTCGGACACGTCTCTTCAAGATGTACACTTTTTGGACCATAAACGTAAGCCTCAAAGATGAATTGCAGACTCCTTCCCCTGCTTTGCCACAATCAGAGATGCCACAGGTCCTGTTAGGTTATGGAAACAAAGCAGACATTAAATGATATTTATAGAGTTTAACCTACCTTCCTTCATACTCTGATAACCAAGCCAAATACGCCGCTCCAAAATACATGGACGCAAACGGATTCGTCAGATCTCCTACATAATCAACTCGATAAGCCCTATAGCGCATCTCTCTTCACAGACAAGTTAGGAGTTTCAGAAATATTTGCTCATTGCTATAAAATTAAAAAATGCTAAAGAAAAGGCAAAATAAGGAAATAAGCTAAGTTCTATGTTAAGAAGCCAATAATCGTGCGAAAAATCACGGTATTAGATCGTAAATGTACGGTAAAGTTTAGGTATAAGCATCATAATGCCTCCAAGTTGCACAAAATAACTTCATTTGAACCCAAGGTCACACATTTCTTGCACGAAATAACTTCGAGCTAGAAAAGGTAGAATGGACGTATACTATGGGTTTAAGTTCTTCTGCACACATTTTTTCATAGCAAAGAAACTCAGTTTCTCATATTTTCACTCACGTGTAAAGCCAGAAAGCAGTAGAGTAGTCAATTCCCATTAGTCCAGTTGATGATTCGTTCCCGTCTATAAAGCGATTGCTAACAATATCGGCCAGAGCACAAAGTACTGCCTGTACAAAACGTTAAGTGTCGGGATAAAAGTTAGTTCCTTCACCTTCCTACAACTTAGAAACCTTATTTATGACACTCAAATATATGAAGTGTATTCAAAAGGCTGAACCAAAGACAATGCAGGGCACTCTTAGTTAATATATTATTTACAAGAACTTTGCATTATATGCAATAGTTGACACATTTATTCATCATTACCAATGCATTTGAAATAAGAAATTACCAATTAATATACCACTGTGCACTTATATAAGATTATATTCTTATTTTTCCTTCATATTTTTGGGGACACCAAGAGCATGCTCATACAGACTAATCACAAATTCTAGCCCTACAGTTTGATTGTGAAGCCTAGCTTGTGTACACTTTAATTAGGTTCATAAAACAAATGGTACATGCTAAAAGTGTTGAAATTTACATGAAACAATCATTCGCAAAGGGAAAAACATATATAATTAACTGCCTGGTAACATTTTCCTATTTCTTATGTACTTACAGGATTTATTCCCCTCGTACTGAAGTACTTGGAAACAATTATTTCTGCAATTGCCTGCATTAGGAGCTCCATGTCAAGAATTTTAAAAGCAACACTTTAGCTTGGTAATTAGAAAGATGAACAGCAAAATGGCAGAACATTTCTGGCTATATCAAAGCAACATTCTGTAACAAGCATATGGAACTGTTGAGGAATAATTATAAAACTAGTTTAACAGGCAACCACTTTGGCACTTACACTGTTGACCCTTAAGATCCGGCATTATATGCCCTTTGGCACAAAAACAAATACTTATCTAACACTGGAAAGGTAATGATACTTTACCTGCACTCTTGACAAGATGTCGGAAAAGGAGAAAGAGAAAATAGTTATTTCAGGATATTAGTTTTCTGTGGATTCATACCCTCAGTTCTACTCGAGAAAGATAAGGTCTCTTCTCTCTATCACAGGAAAACCGCACATTTCCCCTAATTTCCTTAGATTTAGTCCATTCCTTGAAGACATCAAGATGATTCCACATCAGTTCCATGTCTTCAGAGGAAACTCTAATGTCCCAATATAGGTCATCGCCTGCAGATCCACCATAGCATATCATCTAAGCTAGCAATATAGACATGAACTACACAGAAGTAGAGTATAATGTTCAAAGAGGGAAAGGCCACTTGATGAGATTTTGTGTGCTCCGTTTTTTTCACCGAGTCAAAGATTAGATTTAGTAGATTATCCATGCCTGTTATTTTTACTAATTTTAAAAGAGACTATATAGTTACCATTTCACTACTTGAGTTGTTTAAATTAAACTCACATTTCATGCTAAAAAGAGCATAAAATCTAACAATTAATTGGTAAAACAGAGACATAGAGGTGGCTTCACTTTGCCTTGCTTTTATTTCAGTAAAAAAAAGGTTTGCATTACTAGATATGATGAAATAAAATTTGATTACAAATAGACTGATAATAATGACTAAAAGTAGAATAAAAAAACTACAATTAAATGAGCAAAGAATAACCCTTAGACGGTGAAGCTGGTGAAGTTGGCGAAGTTGGTACTTCAATATGCAAAGGACCATCAAAATGTTTTCTGCACAATAATGTTTCAAACAATACAATAGTTAATTTTAAATCAAATACCTGAGAAACCTGTATGCATCCCTTGGAAAAGTATCATAACTAAATGGAGAATTTATAAGAGGGATTATAGAAACCTTGATTGAAAACGTTCTTTCACTAGCAGATAACCCTTCCAAAGAGGCAGGGTTGATTTATGATTTGCTTTTCTTGCACTACCACCTCTATATGCTCTGACGACAAACTCTTCAGTCCTAACTCTGCAAATTCAACATTGATGAGAGAAAAAAAAATACAATATTATTCTATGATCTCATAAAAGAATGTCGAGATGGATACAAATCGATTACTGTTAACTCACTTGCCCTCAAAGTTCGATAACCATTTTAGGTAAGATGCTCCAAAATAAACATTTACGAAAGGCCTGTATAGAATATCTGGATCTTCATCGACTGGAAATAATAAATAATTTTGTTCCCTGCCAGAATAAACTTCAACTTTATTAGGGTTGGCTTAGTTAGAATGCACTCGTAGAGGAACAAACATAAAATTCTACCTGACAATCCACTCAGCTACTTTAGGGTCTAATTGAATGAGTCCTATTGTAATCAGATTGTTTTTCTTATCATATCGTGCTGCAAGAGGCTGTCTGTCACTTTCTAGTTCCGCAATAGCACAAATCATCTCCTGCACAATAGTGAAAATTTTACTTATCCAAAAGAAGAAAAAAAAATTGAAATTTTATTAGGGTTGGTTTTTGAGCAGGATAGCCTGTAGTAACTAGTAAAATATGGATTCACCATAGTTTCCATTTAGTTGATTTATATGGACAGTTTAGATTAAGTGAAAAACCCAGGTGGTATACCCCGAGTAAATGGGTACATGACATACCTAGTGCAAAAAAAAATGTAATACAGGGATATACTGATAATTCACAGAAAAATTGTTCCTTTTCCTTCACTTAGTTTTCATTGAGTGCATGGTTTTTCTCCTTATTTGCATACAGGATTTTCTTAGAAAGTGAGTTATCGAACTTTTCTGTGCATACTCCCCTCTGCTTCGCTTCAAAGAGAGATTACTTTTCCTTCACTTAATGTTTATGAGTGTCGGACATGGATATTTTCTTCAATTTTTTTCTAAGGCGTCTTAAAACTGCCTTGTCATTAAGAAAATTTAAAATAACAAGAGCTTTCCATTACTATTTTAAAGTTCTGGTTTTCGGGACTTCTCGACAATAATATAAGAAGAATAAGTAAAGGCTGAAAATATAACGATTTAAATCACTATGCTATACTAAATTAAAACTAAATTGCACCTTGGTTATATTTCTACCTGGAATAACACGGTCTAATACTTCAAACGTTATCAGTCCTCATGTTTTTTATGCAAAGTTGTGCCTTTTTTTTTTTTACCTTTTCCGCTCCTAGTGTAAAAGAATAGTTCATTTAATGACAAGGTGAGAGTAGATGTGAAACTAAAATCAAACAATTATTTCAGACACCTAATATTAAACATAACCTCCTCACCAGAACTACAATCTGACAAGGAATGCTTCACCAGAACAAAATTCGGGTTATAGGTGACATACCGGATCTACCTGTGAATCGAATTGTCTACGTGTAACGATTTCAGCCACAGCCTGAAAGAACAAGAAGCAAAAGAATTTATAACTTCTCAACCATACAAGCTTTAGGAAAAATATTCGTCAAGATTAAGGAACTTTATGAAGTTCTCATCGTCTATCCGAAAAGGACAAACTACTCAATCTTTCGATAACAGCATGATATGCCATTCAAGTAAGCTACCCTCATCTCTGTTTGTGTCAAATAAGGCTGTCCATCAGGATCCCTTAATAAGTGAACTCTTAACCCTTTAGTCTCTCCAGCATCTTCCCACTCGGTTCTCACATCAGGGTGGTTCCACATTGCTTCCAAGTCCTCGGGATCAGCACAATCATCCCAATATTTGAAACTGACACTCATCCTCACAGGAATGCTCAATTCTTTCTTATGCCATCTATCTATAAGAATAGAATCGGGTTTGATTAATGCTCCAACATTTATATTAAATATCAGACGGTAAACAACGAAACGGACAATGGAAAATGCATTTACTCTATGTTGAGAGAAAGTCAAACCATGAAGTTATTACAATTAATTTTTTATTTTTTTTTGCATCCAACAGATAACACAGGATTATCGATATCAACAGATTCCAGTTAAACGAATGACTGAAAATGAAAGCATATTAAATTCAAAATCTTGATGTTAAAACGCAGAAATACAAAGGATGAACAATACCTGAATGAATTATATGGAAGATATCGAGAAGAAATGAAGGTAATTCTTGGAAGGGTTAAGAAAGTGTAAAGGTGGAAACAAAGAAAAGAAGGGTAAAATGGATGGAAATGGGTGAAGTGGGGAATTAAGAAAACAAATGAAAGATGGAGGGCATGCCATTGTTAACGGCGTTGGTTTCTGAAATTTCACTTACCATTTTTTAAGGGTGAAGATTAAAGAAGAAGAAAGAAGGCGGCGTTGGCCAAATGGAACTCCATCGCAGCATACCATGACACTTGTCATTCTTCACGCTCTCTGTCAGCTTCCAATGATGTTTTCTGTGATAATCCTTCATTTTATTTTTTTATACGTTGACATGGAAATCATTCGTTAAGCCATCTATATGCGTTGAATTAACAAACATTACAGCTTTATGTTGCACCTCGCGAGAAGTTGATAGTATATGAGGATACTCGTGGTATCGGGTGTCTATATGGCCTTAGAATAGTCTCACTGAGACTCAGACTTTTCTTTTCTTCTAATCGAAAAAACAAATATTAACAATTTATATACAATGAAATTTAAAATATATAAAAATAAGTAAAATGTGTTTCTCCTTCTTGTATGCGAAAGATTAAGCATTTTTAAAACCCATATCATAAGTGTTTATTATAGGACGATACTCTCAATTTTTTTTATATTCACAATGTCATGATTCGAACTTATAACCTTTAAAGAATCTAATAAGAATTCTATAAGAATAAAGAAAAAAATTCCTATAAAGAAGTGATCTTCAAAAGGGATAGACAGTGATCTTGACCCTAAAATAAATAAATAAAAAGTCGTATAATACCTTCAAAATTTTGTAATTATAAATTAATCCAATAAAAAAAGTACACTTTAACCTCCCAAACGTTTACAACTTCATCTTGTCCCTTGATAAAAATTTTGATTTTATTGACTAAATATCAACTTAATTGATATGATTGTTATTATAATATCTAAAAAATATATATTCAAACACGTTTAAATTTGTAGCAGTTCTAGCTGATTATGGTTTATCTATGCTTGCTATTTCTTATGACTTTCGCATGACGGTTGAGTTGAATTTTACACAAGTCATTATCAAAAGCGATTCCGCTATTGTTGTTCGTCAATTGAAGAATCCTCACAATGACTTTTTGATGCTTCATTTCTTTCTTGATAAAGCTCGACGCGTAATAGATTCTAACCCACAATCCCACGTTATAATATCCACTGGGTGGCTATTGATGCAATTAATGATCTTGCTACGATCGCATCCTTTTCGTTGTATTTTGTATGTAGTTATCTTCCATATATTTCGGATGTTGTTGTTACCGATGCAATTTTCGGCTAATGAATGCATTATCTTATTTTAAAAAAATTACATTATCCCCTAATTTAAAAGTCTAGAAACTTTGAATTGTTTATTATACCGGCTATATATTATATTACCCTTAATTTGCTAAAAAGGTGGATGCTTTTGATTTGTAATTTTTGTCATTGGTGTTATGTTTGGTTGTATAGGTATTAATGCAAGGAAAATTTCATTTATTACACATGTTCTAAAATAATTTGTTATAAAATAAATAAAAATTAGTATAAATTTAAAATTAAAATTAAAAAAATGTGTAAAGATTCAAGTAAAACGTACTCTCTATGTCCAACCAAAGTTGTCAATATGGTAAATTAATCTCAATTTACTATTCAAGCACGAGCACAAATCAAGCTTTTGCATATACAAATTTTATATTAATTAAACTTACTAAATGATGATTTTTAAGCTGTAAATAATAAAATTCAAAAACCTTACGCAACAACCAAATTTAAATATTTATAAATAAAAATAAAGTCTTCAATAATTTATGTTACATATTTCAAAGCAATTCAAAGATATAAAATATATTGAAAATAAAACTCGATTAGTTTTATTCGGATCAGGTATTAAGATGCTTGAGGTTTGGTTGTCTGATAACTCAAGCTGCTCGACCTGAACAATTACCGAATCAAATTCAAACTTCTTTCGAGTCAAACTTGAGTAGCTTGCATGCCAGCACAAGTGACTCATTCACCCCCAATTTAGAATTACTCCTTACAAATTGATAACCGTGAAGGAAACTGTAGAAATAAGCTATGGACGAGAATCCAAAAGACTAAGCTTCCTTTGCTTAATTCATAAAAATGAAACCAAATCATCCTACCAACAATTTCACAGTTATGAGTGCTTTGTGGGTGTCGGAAGTAGAATACATAATGAAGTTTAAGGCAATAACGCAGGTGTAGGGATCCAAGACAGCTAAATTTATAAAGCTATGAAGCTCTCTTAGGGACAGACATGTTAGCAATGAGATGAAGCGTGTAGCCAATGATAAATAGATGAAACACTAGACCTACAAAAGAAATTGCAAAGATAGCCATTGATTAGCGTCATAAACTTCAGAAAAGCATAATACCAAAACGATCAAAACTTACCGACAACAGCAAGGGAAATCTCAGGAAGCTCCAAAACTATTTCCCAGTAACTTGAGCTTTCTGCACCTTTTGCAAAAGAAGTAAAAAAAAAAACCAAAGATCATGATAGGATTCATTCTCTTAGAATATCAGAACAGATATTGATCCTCTATTCAACTAAAAGTAACATAAATAGAGATAATTCTACGAATTCAACACAATAATTATTAGTAGAAAAAAAGGACATGCTATATCATCTAAATATTTGCTGAATTCAACAATCATTCAATATTTAGCGACCAATAAGACGCTTTTCAGAAATCTGGATTGCGTTCTTTACATCCTGAATACTGATTAACTACAGTCTAAAATGAAAATGTTCAAGGACCTCAGATAAGGGATGGAATGACTTCCAACAGCTACTAAAACAATTATATCTATTTTTGTTTGGTATTAATGAAATTATTTATTTATGAAATCCCATTGATTTGTTTCTTCATTCTCAATCTTCACTTTTCTGACACTATTATCTAGTATCTACCCTATGTTACTTGGACTGTGGTGTGTCAGAGACGAGTCTCTCAGTAATATCCAATTTTACCTCCCAATTTTCTGGAGATATAGAAAAATGTGATAATCAATGCTAACAAAATAAATTTACTCTGAAATTTACTTTTTTGTTAAAAATAAGAATGTGAAAAACAAAGACATTTTTACCCCAAAAAGAAGAAACTAAACTCCTTACCATGAATCCTGAATACTTCCGAATGGCACAATATATCAAGAAGGAGAAAACAATAGATGACATGACCATAAAAAATCTCAACAAATTCACTCGGCTGCGCTTCCGACCTTAAACAAACAACAAAGATCTAGCATTAAGCTAAAGAAATGCCAACCTCAAAAATAATTATACAAAAACATGGGAGTTAGCAAGAAACCTAATGCTCCTATTATCAATGAAATGAGACCACCAGCAGTAGTTGCAATTTCAAGTCCCCGGGAAGCCAAATCCTCTGATGCTGATTGAAAAAGTAGTAAAAGTAGGCCTAACAAAAGTGTGATAGCGTGCAATGAAAGAATGCTATAAAGGTGAATAAAAGCATAGACAGATTGATACTTCTAAAGGATAAGAAAATTGTGGTTTTTACTTTCTTTAACACTAGAGTGTACCCCAAAGTAAGAAAAGCATATAGAAGATTTTCTATAAAATGTAACAGTAGCATACCTGAACTAAAAAAAGTGAAGACAGAATAGACTTTGTACGAGCTACTTTCTGATATCCTACAGCTTAATATCAAATAAGGTAAATAGTTTCTAATAGGAGAAATAAAGATGCTGATTAAGTTGTTGCAAATTAGGAGGAAGAAGAAACAAAGTCATTGATTGATAAGATGACAGATACAGTAATTTTAAATCTAAAAAAAGAAATAGAATAATGAGAGGTAGATAGAACATACAGAAATCAACAACCATCTGATACGAGTAATCTGAGCCATCTGTACCAGAAGGCCTCCCCGATGCCGACACTCTCCGCTGCATCTTTGCTAATTTTGCCTTATTCAACTCCTTTTTTAAGAACTACGTCATTTCAACTGCCAGATAATTTGTTTTTAAGAACTAAACTACAAGCATTATTGAATAGATTAAGAATTCATTATTTAGAAAAGAAACCATAATATAAGCACAGACCCTACACAAGTGACTGCATTTATCGGCTGAATTCAAAGATAGGACAAATCCACGAACCAAAATAAGTTTAACTAGTTGCTTCTTTTATTAATGAAATATGAAACACCATCAAGAGTTTTTCTGCTTCTGCTATAGTTTTATCAGAAGGAAAGCTAAATTGCAAACCAAATAAGGACAAAAATCTATTCTCCATTGCATTTCTAATTTTCACTAGAATTCTCCGTATACTATTCCTGGTTTAATTTTCAACAAATTTTTAGATTTCCATTATTATTCAAAAAGAAGAGGCGGGGGACAAATATTCAATAACACGAATGGCGGAAAACGACATTTCTGAATACTTACTTTAGTCAAAGCCACAGTAAACAATTCTTGGATCAAACAAAATTAGTTGACCTTATTCCCATGTGTAATAGGCTAAAGGGAGGTAGGGTATTAGGCTGCCCAACGCGAGGTTGAGAGCAGGTAGAAGACCTCTGTTACGAATTATTCTGTACTTGATCCCACGACACAAGGTTAAGAATCTTGTGCTTTATCAACTGAACTAGACAATTCCTGGATCAAACAACAAATAACTAATTAGGGCATGGGTGGTCAGATCTAAATTATTAGAATGCACTAAACCCATTAAAAATAAGTCGCAATCAGGAAACGTTCGCAATACTAAACAGGGAAAAGCATGAACCAATAAGAAACTAAAAAAAAAGAGATCTCTGGAAGGAGAGGACATTGAACAGAAAATGAAAAAGGAAACTGGAGAAGCTGCTGTACCGTTGAATGGAAGAACACCGTGCTGCTAGCGGTGGCGCCAAGTAAAAAGAAATGCGGGAGAAATAAACCTAAAGACCAAAATAATCTACTACGTTTTCAACTGAAAAACAATAGACTTAAACCGTAGATATTGAAATATATTATTTTCACTAGATTTTGTTGAATATATTTTAGTTTTTTAAAACCGTAGATATTTCTGTTTTTGTTGAATATATTTTAACTAAATTAATTTTTTTTGGATATATTAATATTATTTTTATGGGTAGGTTTATCAATGGGACTATATATTATAGAGAATTATATAAAAGTTACTATTAAGTTACATATTTAGTCATCTACTTATTTTTTTTTTATTTCGTTTTGATTATCTAATTATTTTTTTATAATCACACCTAATTTATATTTCTGTTCCATTTTGATCAACATCGTTAAAAAATTAACAGTGATGTTAACATATCACTATAAAATAATATCATATCATAATCGAAAAAATTATCACATCAACAATATTGTTTATTTTTTAATAACAGATGACTAAAACGAAACAAAAACATAATGCTTGGTACGTTTTTGAATAAAAAGTTGTTAGATGACCAAAACGAAACCACATGAATAAATAGGTGATTAAATACATAGTTTACCCTAAAATTTAAACCTCTATTATAAGAATCAAGAGAGAGAGAGGCACTAAACATCACGGGTAAAGCAAAACAAACCAAACCAAACCAAAGATGTCGTTGGTTAAGCTACTTCCATAGACAAAATATAGTTAGTTTCAGAGGAAGCCTAGGCGTATCCGACTTTTACATGGTCCGAAGCATTTTATGCCGCTGCGCACTGTACCTGGCACAAACAAAAACCCAAAAGATTCCGATATTTATAAACGGCGAATACCCCATCTATTAGGCGCATTCAGCTGGTAGGCTTGACATGCTAATGCCTCGCGCAGATATGGCCTCAAATTGTCGATCCGGCGAAGCTCATGTTCATGCTCGTGCTTGTAATTTAAGTTGCCATTTGAGGTTCTTGGCAACTCTACCATTTGTCTGTCAGGACCACGCCTCCGTTCATATCTTGCATCAAAATCAAACCCCAATCTTTCAGGATATACCACACCATAACTATTCCGTTCATATTTTCGGACCAATTCATTTAAATTTCTGTCGGAAACCTCGGAGTATCGATTCCCATTGGGAATTGTAGAGGGCAGCCCATCATGCAGTGAGATGTGATTCACAATATGATTCCTCTGAACATAGTTGAAATCACAAGTTGGTTGCAGCTGCATTGGCATTGGAATGGTATCAAAATCATACCCCAATCTTTCAGGATATGCCACACCATAACGATTCCGTTCATATTTTCGTATCAAACCATTTAAGTTTCTATCTAAGACCTCGGAATATTGATTCCTATTGGAGGTGGTAGAGGGCAACTCAACATGCAGTGGGATGTGATCCACAGTATGATTCCTCTGAGGACAGTTGAAATCAGAAGTTGGCTGCGGCTGCATTGGCATTTGAATGGTTTGAAAGAGCCGAAACCTTTTACGCATTGAACGCAGTCTTGAGGTTGCTTTATACACTTTCGTAGATCGAGGGAGAAGACCGAATTTGAAGGTACTGCACTCACCGAGAGGAAAGGGCGCATCACATCTCGAACCATCCCCTCTCTTATTTTGATAACTAGGGTAATCTTTGATATTGAAATCCACAAGCTGAATCAACACCAGAGAGCTTCCGGAAGCTAATTCCTCAAGATCCCACAGGCAAAATGGAGTGCTGGTTTTGTGGTTTACATGGATTTCACCATTAGCTCGAAGCATGCCGCTTGCACTCCTAAAGAAACCTTGTACAAGGTTCTTATGCATCCTGTCTTAGTACAACGAAAAACACATTGTTGAAACCAAAGGGAAAACTGAATAATTTCATAAGATCTCTTGATTCTTAAATACAAGCATCAAGATCTAATTTAAAAGAAACCCAATTATGAAGCATAAAAAAACACTCAATCAACATCACATCTCAGTTTTGGACTATAATGTTGATCCTTGACAAATTACAGAAAAAGATACTTACGAGGTTTCCCTTAGTCCCATCAAGGATGAAAAGTGAAAATGACACATAGGCATGGACGGTCGCATGATTTTACGTTAGTGAGCGGAACTTATAAAATTTTTAAGGGCTGAAATTATAAAACTTATATACAAACCCGAATTCAACGCACATAGCTGATAGCACCACCTTATTCAACACTCCAATTCAGGTAAATTTGCTCTACCAATTAATGTGAACTTCTAAAAGAAATTTGATATAACTAAGATAGCAAAGACATTGATGATATGAACAGGTAAGAAGATTGTCATGCATGAGCATATATCACCATACACTAAACACACATCTAGAAACATGACATATCAATACGAGAACTAAACGCAAAGAGGAAATTTACCGAATCATACGAGCATTATCTTCCCTTCCATGAAAGCCAGCATGTGGGAAATTGAAGATGATTCGATCAAACTTTTGATTGGCTAAGACAATATGATGCTTCATTTTGGTTGCATCCACTTCAAAGAGCAATGATGCCCCTAGCTTCTCAAGATTTCCCAAATTTGACACTGCGTTCTTGTATTTCTTCTTCAAATCATCTATTTAACCACAACAACAATAAAATGACATAGCAAAATTAGTCAAACCGTTTGTCAATATTTCAGAATTAGTAGCAAAGCGCAAATCAAAACTTTGGGTTTTGCCACATAATACGAAAGCTGGGTTTTTGTTTTGTTTATATACCATAGGAGTCTAGAGAAGAAGCATAAATGTTGGAAGCAGAGGCAAAGGCATTGGCCAAACACAAAGAGAAAGAGAAATCGCCTTCACCAACTAACAGTATTTGATGGTTTGATGAATAGTGAGTGATCCATTTCCCTTCTTCTTCGTCTATTTTTCCGTTTTCAGCTCTGAGCATTTCGTTTCTTGGCTCTCTGGTTGCCATTGGACTTCAAAGGCCACTTTTTTGTGTGAAGAAAAATATCAGAAACGCTGACTGAGTAAGGCGATCACTCTTTAAGTTACCCCGGAAGTTGAACGGCCGTGTTTCCTTGTTTTCAAAGTTGTTACAGACGGTAAAGAGGAAATCACAGGAAAAAGAAAAGTATCCTCAAAAAAAAAAGGAAAAAGGAAAGATAAATTTGAAAAGAACCTTCATTCATGATAATTCTGATATAATATAATTTAGAAAATATTAAAATATTTTCATTTAAATAAATGACAATAATAATTTATTGAGCGGTTTCATTGATAAAAATGAATGTTATTCTTTTTTTTTTTGGTAAGAAAATGAAAACTACCTAATTACTTAAACCTAATTGCATTCTTCAATCACGAGTTGGCTTATATCAGCAGGAGGCTCCTGTAAGATTCTGGTTTGGCTATCTTCGAAATTGACGCTTCTTGCTAGTTTATCAGCAATTTTATTCCCTTCTCTTCGGACATGTTGCAATCTGACGTTCCAATCCCGGTTTATCAGTTCCCTTATGTACGGTATTATGGTAATATTTCATTCTTTGTTTGTGCTATTCTTCAGTGTCTGTATTGCTTCGAGGCTATCTACTTCAACTATGAGTTGTTGGATTCCTTGTTCCCATGCACATCTTAGCCATGTATATACTCCCCATAATTATGCTTCCATTGTAGAACATATTCCTATGATTTTTTTGAAGCCGATCCTCCATTTTCCATTCAAATCTCTGATTACTCCTCCACATGCTGCTTTACCATCTGTATTTCTACGGGCTGCATCTGTATTAAGTTTTTCCCATCCCTCTGATGGAGGTAGCCAAACTGTTGGACCAACCAATTCAATTGGCTGTGATTTGTTTGCCTGGTCTCTTTCTCTATTTGCATTATTTATTGAGTTTGTCATTCTACGGCTTCGTTCTAATATTCTTGTGTTATCTTCCATAGGATTGTTGAAGACAATCGAATTCCTCATGATCCATATGTTCCATAATACCGATCCGAATAGGATTTCCCAATCTTTACTTTCTTTAGCAAACATGCTTGGTCTTGTTAAATTCACTTCAACCCAATTCTTTATGTCCATTGTTAGGAAGTTCTGTAATCTCTCGTTTTTCACCAGTGTTGTCCAAATAGGGGTCACGGTAATGCAGTGTCGAAAAATATGGTTAATATCCTCTGTTTGTGTCACACAGATTGGGCAATTACCATCAATTGTAAGATGTCGTCGAAGTCTTTCTGCATTTGTCAGAATTTTACCTTTGCAAACTAGCCATAGGAATGTTTTCAGCTTTTGTGTTCCTTTGTATGCGTGAATTACCTTCCATATAGGTTCTTGAGTATATTCCCTTTGTTTTATTCTAACTTCATATGCTGTTTTGACAGAGAATTGATGATCCTCTCTCTTTAACCATCCAATTCTATCGTTTTTTGCAGTTGTGTGAGGTCCTTTAATCGCTGCCAGTCTCAGAAGTATATGCAGTGGTAGAAGGTGTTCAATCTGCCTCCAGTTCCAATTACCATTTTCATCAATCATGCTTTTTATGGTTGCTTTTCCCACCTGATTATGGTCTCGTTGATTGACCAAATTTATTAATGGCCCTATTTCTGCAATCCAGTGGTCTCTCCAAAAATCGGTATGTACCCCATTTCCTATTATTCTGGTTATGTTGCTTCGGACATCCTCCCATACCATGCTTATCCATTTCCATAGTTTGGAGCAGTTTTGGCTTCTAATGTTAGTCGGTATCTCATCTTTGCATTTGTATTTCGCCTTGAAAACACGAACCCACAATGCGTCTTTTTTTGCTATTAGATTAAACGCCACTTTCATTATAAATGCTTCATTTTGCTCTTTTATCTTTCTAAATCCAAGACCTCCATCCGATATTTTTTGGCATACTTCCTCCCATTTTACTAATGGCAACCCTCCTTTTCCATCTATTTTACCCCATACAAATTGTCTGATGATTTTTTCCAGTTCTCTACAAATTATTTTGGGTAATACTGCTGTCTGCATGGTGTAAGTTGGGATGGCTGCCAAAACAGCTTTTGCAAGTGTAATTCGACCAGCTAGTGACAATGTTTTTGCCTTCCATACGCTTAATTTAGTTTGAACCATTTGTACCAAGTAATAATAGTATTTCGAGGTGGCTCGGGAGTGTAATATTGGTACTCCTAAATATTTCCCTAGATCATCAACCATAGTAAATCCAAATGATGTGCTTATCTGATTTCGCAGTGCTGTTTGTACATTATTAGAGAAGAAAATTGTTGTCTTTGCAATGCTTACTTTGTGTCCCGAGACTTCACAGAATCTTTCTAGAACTGTTCTGATGATATTGAGTTGGTCTAAGGAGGCTTCTGCGAATAGAATCATGTCATCTGCAAAAAATAGATGGGATATCTTTGGGCTGCTTCTTGATGTTTGGAATGGTTTCCATCGTCCTTTTTCGATTTCTATTTTAATTGCTTGTGATAGTCTCTCCATACATAGAACGAAAATATAAGGAGACAATGGGTCGCCTTGTCTTATCCCCCTTGATGGTTTAAAAGCGTCTGTCAATGATCCATTCCACGATATTTGTGTCGAAGCTGTCGAAACACAGTGGTAAATAAGATTACATAGAGCATCTGGGATACCTAGGTCTCGTAATGTATCATCTATGAAACTCCATTCCAGTCTATCATATGCTTTTTCCAAGTCGATTTTTATTGCCATCCAGCCTTTTTTTCCAGATTTCCTTCTCATAGAATGTATTACCTCTTGGGTTATTATGATATTATCAATGATGCTTCTACCCGGAACAAAACTGGTTTGGTTATCTGATATCCATTCTGGTAACAGGGGCTTCAGACAATTAACTATGATTTTTGTGACTGTTTTATATAGCACTGAACAAAGGCTGATCGGTCGGAACTGGTGCATTTTTTCTGGTTTAGCTACTTTTGGTAAAAGTATCAGTATTGTCTGATTGAGTTGTTATGGCATTATTCCTTCTGTGAATATTTTTCGGATCATCATGCAAACTGAATTCCCAACTAAGCTCCAATTTTTCTGATAAAATAACGCATGGATTCCATCTATTCCAGGTGGCTTAAGTGGTCCCATTCCAAAAATAGTTTCCTTGATTTCCTCGTTGGTTACTTCTCATGTAAGGCTTTCTTTTTCATGCTCTTCTATTTTTTTGAACTTGCCTCTTATTTCATAATTGTATTTAGGATCCTCATTGCTTGAGAATAGTTTGGTATAAAATTGGTTTGCCATTTCTCTAAGTTCTTCTTGTTCAGTACTCCAACTGCCATCTTCGCGTTTTAAGGTTTCGATTTTGTTTGCTCTTCTTCTTGTTATTGTTAAGGCATGATAGAATGCAGTGTTTCGATCCCCTTCCAGTATCCATTTTGTCCGTGCTTTTTGTCTCCACAGACTCTCCTCCTGGTCTAGTACAGTGTCGAGTTCTGTCCGTAATTGTTTATCCAACTATACCAGAAATTCTGAGTGTGTTCGGTGTAGAGCTTTGTCTATTCCTGTAACATCCGCAATACCGGGTTAGTGACTAAATTGAAAAGTTTCAGAATTTGGTGATTAACGTATAAGAATGAAATAATTTAATGATTATTGGAAATATATGATGAAGGTTATCTAGTAATTATTAAAAGAAGTTAAGGGTTAAATGGTCATTTGACCAGAAAGATTTTTTTTATCTTTCTTTTAAAGGTGATATAAACGTGGGAAATGAGAAACATCTAGAGTTCTCTTCTCCTTTCTTCTTCTTCATACGTGGGAGAGCCAAGCTAAAGGTGAGTTTTCTTGTGGATCAAATTCTTGATGAATTTAAGGTTGCTTATTGATCCTTAGATAATAACTAAGCTTAAGGAAAGCTTAGATTATCTTAAAACCATAAGATGAGGAGTATATGAAGAATTAAAGAAAGGAAGTAGAAAAGTGAAATCTTGAAGTAGAGTTCATAATAAGAATTGAAAGTGGGATTTGACTTGTTATAAAGCTAACTAAGAAGTATGAGGTGTTAGAATTCAAATTAGAACATGTTGGAATTTGGGTTAGATTCTTAAATTCTACATGGAGAATTAGATTTCTAAGTTTTAAAAGTATTTAATGGATAATAATTAGTTTAAGTAAGAGTATGCAAGTTAGGGATATTAAAAGAGGGGAAATATAAAGTGTCGAGTAGAGTAAGAAGAGATTTTCGTGCTTAAATGACATTTCTGGGCAATGTGCATCGATGCACATTCATTATGCACCGATGCATCAATGATAAATCCCATAAATTTATTGAAGGTGCATCGATGCATATGAAGTGCATCGATGCATTAATTTAAATACAAACATCGAATGTCGTCAGTGCATCGATGCATAAGGAGTGCATCGATGTATTTCTAATAAAATGAACATCGAATGCCCTCAGTGCATCGATGCACGCCTCCATTAAAAGATGAAAATGGCTTTTCTTTTAGCCTAAGAAATGATAGTTTAGAATATACTAATTAGTATACTGATAAGTATCAATGAATTACTATGTAGATTCAAAGCCTAAACGAGTTCCGGAATCATTGACAAGTAAGATCGATAAAAAGGGAAGATAAGAGATTGGAATGGACTAGTGAGGCCAGGTGAGTGCATACAAGTTAGTTTATGATGTTTAATGGAAATAAGACTTGCGACGAGTCTATTTCCTATATTATAATGCATTAATTTATGATCATAGGCATATGTTTGATTTGGGTATATGTGATATATATTACAATATGTGTTAAATGATTGTGTGAATACATGTATTGTGATAAGTATAGGAATTAATATGAATGGTCTATACGATTGCATGGGAATGTGAAATAGGTTATATGATAAGTGGCCATACATGTTAATAGTATAAGTGATCAATTATAAGAATTTATATAATAGATTTATATGACTACATGAGAAAGGTGATGAGTTAAATAAGATTAGACTATAGAGTAATATGAG